GCTCAAATTAAAGCATCTTCAGATATATTGCTCAAAAATAAAAGTTTTACACACAAACAGAATATAGGAATTTATGACCTTGACCTTCAGACCTCAAAATTAATAGGGGTCTTTCTTAGCAAATAGGGAGATGTTGCATTAAATTTCATTGCATAAGCTAAAAAGCATCTTGAGAATCAAGATATTGCATGAAAACAAAAGTGTTAATACATTTACAGACAGAATTTATGAATTTATGACCTTGACCTTTTGATCTCAAAATCAATAGCTACACAGAATTGTTATATAAAAATTCATTACAAAATTAGCTCAAAGGCCGTTTGAGATATTGAGCGGAAATGAAAACGTTACAGACACATGCATTGAGAAATACAGAGAGACCCAAATTCTTATCCCCCACTTTTAGTAAAAGCCTGGAACAAGAAGTATTTTGATACATCTGTATGTAGTAGTGTAAGATACATGGCATCCTACTAGCTTGGGCTAGTGAGTTACCCCTTTAGCCCCGGGTTCAATCCCAAGCAGAGACACAAAATTATTTCTGTTACATTTATAAAAAAGTTGTTTCTGAATGTCAATGATTGTATTGTTTTACTCATGTTATTGGCAGATTTTGATGCATGAGTTGTCTGATCATCATCAGATCTCTCACTAACACTATCTGGAGGACACACACATCCTTGTTTGCAAGACATTCCTCAATCTTGGACAACATGTTACAATTCCCAGCAGCAGAGAGGAACAAGGAACACATGCTGAATGTTCTGAGGGACCATTTGTCAGCTGATAGAGAGGGACAGGGCCTAGAGATTGCCTCAGGTTGTGGCACTCATGTTGCTCTCTTTGCACAAAATTTCCCCCTCATGAAATGGCAACCCAGTGAGATTGATCAAGGGTGTTTAGAAAGGTAACTTATTATTAATGCTAGAGGATGTATCAATTGCATTACAAATGCATTTACAATATAACTATAACTTCTTTTGAACAGAAATTAATTTAAATATAAATATGTAGAATTCATGAGTTTCATATTAGTGACCAAAGGATAAAATATTTTTTAACAAATATATCGAACTGTATGAATGAATACAGAACAAAATTTTGAATTAATGCATACTCTTTAGTATTTCAGCATATAAGGAACATTATGGGCTACACAACATACATGAACCTATACCAATAGATGTAACTTCCCCTGTCCAGTCTTGGAATGAGGGGAAGTTCCAGCCGGCTTCATTTGATGCTGTGGTCAATATGAACATGATTCACATCTCACCCTGGGACACAGCAGTGGTAAGCTTCAGAAAACTTTCGATTAAGCTTTCACAAAATAATCTTTCTAATAAATTATTATCAAGAGATTATTGAGAAACAATCACATTCTTTTTCCAGGGATTATTTAAAGGCTGTGGTAGACTCCTGAAGAGTGGTGGTTTGCTTTTTTTATATGGGGTAAGTTAAATGATACTACATTGTGACTTTTTTTTGGTAAGCACAAGTAAGGCGAAATAATTTTAGATTTTCCCCTCTCAATTCTATCAGTTAGGACAAAACCTTTCTACTCTAAAAGTGGGGAATGGCTAAAAATACATCTAACTGTTCTGCAAATGCATTGCTTCAAAATGTCCATCTATGACTGCCAATACCATCAGGAAAAGTTTCCATATAAGCTTTCATTAATTTTATTAAATATACACTCATTAATTTGATCAGAAAAGCTTTTCATTCATTCTTATGGAACGCCAACACTGCCTTATAGCATACAACTATGCTTTTATTATATCAATTTATCATTACGTGATGTGAGCATATCTTTACGTTATGTCCATTTTTTATGAGATGATGTAAATATATCTTAACATCATGTCAATGCTGCATTACATGAAGTAAATACATCCTTTCATTATGTCAGCACTTCATAACTTGAAGTAAAAAATTCATTATGTCAAGTGATAATGTGTAAATTTTGTGTTAAAACTTTATTGCATGATATGAATTTTTCTTTACATCATTTCATTTCTTTAATATTTGAGGTCAAAATTGCATTACGTCAAGTAAATTGTGTTTTATAATTAAACTTATCATTACATGAAGTCAAAAGCCCATTCCTTTTTGAGAGTGTATATTTCTATTATATCAAAGCATTATTACGTGATATGGATTTATCTTTATTTTACGGCAAGGGCATCATGATGTGAGATGAACACATCGTACCTTTATGTCAGTGCTTTATTACGTGGTGTAAAAAGTGTATAACATAATGTGAACATATCTTTATATTACATCAATACTTTATTACATTATGTCAAAACTCCATTCCGTGATGTGGATATATAATTACGTTATGTCAACTCTTTCTTATGTGATTTAAAAATATCTTTATATTGTGTTAACTCTTTATCATGTTGATTCCAAAAGTTCATTACCTGATGTTAAAAAACATTTACATTATCTCAAAGCTGTATATCTAGTATATAATGAATGTTGACGACTGTGTTATAATGACTGGGAAGAAGGGGGGGGGGGGGGTCCTGATTGATTAGGACAAATTACAGGCACATAATATCAACCCCCCTCTTTTCCCAGACATAACTTTACTATAGAAAATGTAATGTTCATTGACACTGTACAGCCCCCCTACCCCTACTTTTTGTTGAAGTATACATGTAATCCACTAAGGGTAATGTAATATATATCTGGAAAAAAATAGGACTGATCGAAGTTGGACCCCTCTCCCCGAAATAGGATTTTCGGCTTGGACTTTTTTCTTGGCTTGTCAAGTTTTTGCGGGTAAATGATTTTTTTCTGGCTGACCTCCTCTTTCAGAAAAAGATGCTACGTCACTGGAGTTAGTAATTTTTAGCTCTACTGGTCAGAGACCAGAAGAGCTTATGCGATAGTAATGCGTCCGTCGTCCGTTCATCTGTCTGTCCGTCTGTCTGTCTAGCTGTCCGTCTATCTGTAAACAATTTTTCAAAATGCTACTCCTCCTACAGTTTTGGTCCGATTTCAATATAACTTGGCACACAAGTAGACTACACTAAGATACATAATTTTGTGCATCGGTTTTTGATTTCGATGAACGGTGTTGCCGTGGTTACTAAAAATAGAAATTTCTTTGAAATTCTTTCAAAATGCTACTCCTGCTACAGATTTGGTCTGATTTCAGTATAACTTGGCACACAAGTAGACTACACTAAGATACATAATTCTGTGCATCGTATTTTGATTTCGATAAACGGTGTTGCCGTGGTTACTAAAAATAGAAATTTCTGTGAAATTCTTTCAAAATGCTACTCCTCCTACAGTTTTGGTCCAATTTCATTATAACTTGGCACACAAGTAGACTACACTAAGATACATAATTCTATGCATCGGTTTTTGATTTCGTTGAACGGTGTTGCCTTGGTTACTAAAAATAGAAATTTCTTTGAAATTCTTTCAAAATGCTACTCCTCCTACAGATTTGGTCCGATTTCAGTATAACTTGGCACACAAGTAGACTACACTAAGATACATAATTCTGTGCATCGGTTTTTGATTTCGATGAACGGTGTTGCCGTGGTTACTAAAAATAGAAATTTCTGTGAAATTCTTTCAAAATGCTATTCCTCCTACAGTTTTGGTCTCATTTTGATATAACTTGGCATACAAGTAGACTACACTAAGATACATAATTCTATGCATCGGTTTTTGATTTCAATGAACAATGTTGCCATGGTTACTAAAAATAGAAATTTCTGTGAAATTCTTTCAAAATGCTACTCCTCCTGCAGTTTTGGTCTGATTTCAGTATAACTTGGCACACAAGTAGACTATACTAAGATACATAATTCTGTGCATTGGTTTTTATTTTGATGAGTGGCAAGGATCATTTTTCTATTTATTGCTGATTTAAAGTCTCAAGTCCCAACTGCTACTTTTCTCTTCCTTTGTTTTAAGTATAAACCAGTAGAGCTACAGTCTCGACAGAGACTTCTGGTTTTTAATCATTCCAGGGCCAGAATTCTATTACAAAAATCTACCAGTCACTCATCTAAATCAATTGAATATGCCTTAGTAAGCATGCATGGGCACATATCAGTGGCAGATATGGGAATCTTGAACAAGGAAGGGGGTGCGGTATATGGTTGGAGACAAGGGCGGAAAGTGGAGAAGCTCTCAGGCTTTATAGTTTTATAGAAAAAAAGTTTTCAACTTAATTCAGCTAAGCTTATTGTGAAATTAATGCAATGTCCTTCAAAGTTTAAGACTTTTATTAAAAAAAAAATTCAAAATAAAAAGAAAAAAAATTATTGCTACACGACTCATAATATTTGATTTATTTAATTATGAGATTAAAGTAAACACCGTTGAATTTCGACGTGACTTTAATTCACAGTCGCAGTGTTAAGGCTTTGCACATTTCAAGATTGTCAATCATTTGTCGCATAAAATTTTCATTTAAAGATGTCATTATCAAATCGCTGAGAATCTCTTCTACGACAGTTTTCTCTCCCGCCAATTTTAGTGCTTGCGGAACGCGGAAAATACGTTATGCTCATATAAAGGCCGAGGATACCCGTGTTCGCATAACGTAATAGTGAATCGACATAATGTAGAAGAGTGCGCACAGTATGGCATGGGCTTTTCACATCAGTTAATAAAAACTAAGATCTCATGAAAAGTAAACATAACGAAATGCAAGTTGACGAAATATAATTGTAGTATGTGTAAATGTCATACAGAGTTGACATAATGTAAAGGAAAGTTAACACAATGCAAAAGTAGTGTGGGTTAATGTCAAAAAGAGTTGACATAATGTAATGGAAGGTTGACACAATGCAATAGTAGTGTGGGTTAATGTCATAAAGAGTTGACATAATGTAATGGAAGGTTGACACAATGCAATAGTAGTGTGGGTTAATGTCATAAAGAGTTGGCACAATGTAATGGAAGGTTGACACAATGCAATAGTAGTGTGGGTTAATGTCATAAAGAGTTGGCACAATGTAAAGGAAGGTTGACACAATGCAATAGTAGTGTGGGTTAATGTCATAAAGAGTTGGCATAATGTAAAGGAAGGTTGACACAATGCAATAGTAGTGTGGGTTAATGTCATAAAGAGTTGGCATAATGTAAAGGAAGGTTGACACAATGCAATAGTAGTGTGGGTTAATGTCATAAAGAGTTGGCATAATGTAATGGAAGGTTGACACAATGCAATAGTAGTGTGGGTTAATGTCATAAAGAGTTGACATAATGTAATGGAAGGTTGACACAATGCAATAGTAGTGTTCTGCTATAAGGCAGTGACGGCGTTCCATACATTCTTATTTATCACTCTGTTTACTTGTATTTTCTTTTTCAGCCATTTGCAATTCATGGTCAACTGACTCCACAAAGCAATGTTTCATTTGATGCTTCTCTCAGACAAAGGTATGGTGATTTCTGCCCTGTAATCTTGTCAAGGGACAAGTATATCGGAATGTTATTATAATATTTCACTCATATATATAGTGGTATAAGCAGGTCCAGTGACTTCTGTAAATGTAATATATGTTCACTGCAGGGACAGTAGATGGGGAGTCAGAGATGTTGATGATGTGGAGAAACTTGCCATTCAGAACGGAATGACTCTCTTTAAAATGGTTAGTTAAAGATCTCTGTATAAACAAAACAAAAGTTACATGTACATTTGTTCCTTATAAATTACTAGCAAGTACACTGTTACATGTTATCAGTCTTAAACATGTGCATTGTTTTGTTTTTTTTTTTGTAGGTTGATATGCCAGCAAATAATAAAACCTTGATCTTCAAGAAATGCTAAATGTATACCTCACAAACCGAACAGAGGCTATTCATTTTAGCTAAATTTATTAACATGTACCAATATTTTAAATTTTCAAAATTTCTATTTGTATATATAAATGTATGTCATTTTGTAGGAAACCATAAAATATTTTTTAACTTGACACAGTTTTTTTTATATTTAGCAAATGAAGTAAAACATATATGTAATATATATGATGATTAACAATTTATCAAGAAACCCAGATCTCTGAAAAAGAAGAAAAAAAATCATTTTCACATTGTACTTCTTAGTTTACAACAATCAACTTCAAAGCATTTTTTCATTGCTACAACACAAAGTTCATAAGTATCCAATAAATGCCTATTAAAGTCCGGTTATTCTTTCAATACATCTATATTACTGAGATAATTAATCAGCTACTGAAGTTGTACGTCAATCAAATGAAATCAGTTCTCCCTCCAGCTGGGTTGGGGGAGGGGGTCCCTGGGGAGGGGGTCCTCCCTGCTGGTACTGCTGATTCTGGGGAGGGGGTGGGCCTGTCATATATTGCTGTTGTTGACCTGATGGAGCTGAATACACACCTTGTTGACTCTGTGGGGGCAAAGCATTGGCCATATCTGTCAACAAAATATTGTAAAGTTGTTAAGAAATAAATCTTGACTCAAATCTTAAAACCTCTATTCTTTTAAAGCTGAACACGAGTCTTATATCTAGGTATACTCAATATGGTTTTCCTATTGGAACCTGACATTGAAGGAGATGTGTGCTCAGGTAGAATTTGAAAAGCAAAATACATTCAACCATCTTATATAGAGGCTGGGAAAGTCTTGAGAAGACTATTAGGGACAAATGGTATTCAGCTTTACAAGTATCAAAAAAAAATTAAATTAAATTTTTTTTTACTAACTTTGCATGTTGAATGCCTTGTAATCCACATTAGGAGGTGGCATGTACCCCTGGTTCATGGGGGGTGACATGCTATATTGCATCTGTGGTTGGTAACTGTTTTGCCCCTGATCAGATTGGTAAGTCCCGGGCAGGTTAACTGGTTGTGTGGATCCTGGAGGGTACTGGCCTCCTGCCTGTGAACTAGGAACATTGTACATCTGGTGCTGAGGGGTCTGCTGCATCTGAGGCTGACCTGCCCCTATAGGGCCCTGATTTATCATGTTCTGTTGATCAAGGCCCCCTCCCGAGGGCCCCATTCCCACATTCATTCCGCCCTGCATTTGTGGTATGCCCTGCCCTGGTCCCATGTTCATATTACCTGGACCCACACCCATTGGAGGATAAGCATTCTGATGCATCTGATGGACTGGGGAACCATCCACAGAATTAATTGGACTAAACGTTTGTCCTGGTATGCCCTGCATTGGTGGCATCTGTCCATAAGCCTGTGTTCAAAATTAAATTCATATGTAAAGTACACACATGTATGAGTATCACAACATGCATGTAATGGCTAAGTATTTTAAATATATTGACTCACATTTGGAGGGTATCCATATGCCTGCATCTGCCTCATCTGAGTTAACTGCTTCTGTTGTTCAAATCGCATTTGCATTTCTCTTTCTTGTTCCTGCAGTCGCTGCAAAGCCAACTGTCTCTGCATTTCTAAGTATTCCTGAAAGTAAAAAAAGAAAGAAATTGTTTTATGATGAAGCCCCTTGATCAGTAAACGATGCTTATGACTAGATTCTATTCATTTGACGTGTTATTGTGAAAAATGCCTCAATGGTAGTGTGGTCAGAATAATATAAAATTGTCTTATGATCCTGTTATAATCAAACCATATGATTTTGTAGATCAATTTTGATTGAGAAGTGAAGCATGTGGTCTTAAAAGAGAAATTGCAATAAAGTGTGAAAACTGCAGAATACAAAGTATCCACAGAACACAGATTTGGTAAAATAAAACTTCTAAAAAATTATCATGGGACTGAATTCTCTCTAGACTTACATGTTTCTTCTGCCTCATGATCTCTAACTTCTGAGCCATCTGTATCTGTCGCTGTCTCTCCAGCTCCTCCTGTTCTCGTCTCTTCTTCTCCCGGTAATCCTCACGCAGAGCATCTAGGGCCTCTCGGGCGTCACGGAGCTGGGCAAGCTTGTCTTGTAAGGACTCGTAATGTCCTGCCAATGAAAATCACATTGTATAACATAAATACATTTTAGTACAGGCATCATGTTTATTTTACTGTAAATCACTTTTTATTCGCGAGAACTTTATTTTCGCATAATTACGTGAGACAGTGTGCTCGCGAAAATTTAATTCTCGCGTATAATAGTATTCCTTAGGATTATATAGAGCAACAGCCACAATTCATGAAAATTTTGTCCCCCTAATCAAAAGTCAATGACTATCTCGCAATAATAAGGGGTCGCGAAAATTTAGTGATCTACAGTATTTTATACAAACATTTATATTTTATACAATAATTTTATACAAACATCATTTAAAAGTATGGCAAACAAACAAAGCATTAATTGGCAAGGACTAAGTTTTTTCCTCCTTAAATTCTGCTTTACCTCTCATATCCTCTTGTTCTTGGGTGTACTTCATCAGCTGGGGATGCATGTTAGAGATGACATTAAACAGTGATTGTACAGAGGAATCGTTGGCAATACTGCGACCACGCTGGGAGTTGCTCTTCATTCTGTTGACAAATATCTCAAGACTGCTCTTAAGGGCACGCAGAAACTGTTCCTGGTCCCCCTCATCTGCTCCATTCTGAAAGGCCTGCCAAAAAATCAACAAAATCATTCATTGGAGATACATCCACAGATAAATGCAAATCAAACATTATAATGTTCCTTTTCAAACCTTCACCAGATAAAGGAAGTAAAATATTTATAAATACTTTGACAAGTTAGTACTGTAAAATCACTTTTTATTTTCGGGAACTTTATTTTAACATAATTATGCAAGACAGAGTCCTCGCAAAAATCTACTGGTAACTCTCGCTTATAATAGTATTCATTGAGATAAAAAAGAGCACGATTAAACCACAATATATGAAATTTTTGTCTTGCTAATCAAGAGCCAACAACTATCTCGCCAAAATAAGGTGTTGCGAAAATTCTGTGATCTAGTATTTGACCAGAATAAATGAATATTGAATAAAGTATTAAAATAATGATTTGATTTGGGGAAACAAAGTGTGCAAAATAAAAGAAATTCACCTCTATAACAACCCCTCCTCCAGTTACCACCCCTGCCTGTTTGGATTCGGTGTTGGCTACAGGAGCAGAAGGGGTGGTGGTGGGTGGGTTGCTACTGGATACGGGTTGTTTAACATCCTCTGACTTTCTCTGCCAGTAGTTCCTGTCCAGGTAGCGAGCTAACTCGGGATCCATGTCTGTGGTGTCAATCATGGGAGCAGATACCTATACAAAAAAGTTAATTTAATTAAACATACATTTTAATATTTAAAAATACATATACCTTGAAAACAAATCCATACTTTGTTACTAGTACATCAAAATTATTTAAATATAAGTATCTTTAAAAAAAATTTCTCTGCATTGTTTCAAATTTGATTTTTTTTTTCTTTTAATTCTTTGGTCTGCAGATTTGTTACACTTTTAATTAGAATTTTAAAAATTCTAAAATATCATTGATTTCATTGACCTTAAATTGAATTACCGGGTAAAATCTAACTGTCTATTGCTAGTCTAATACTAGAGTTCTACATTATCTCCCAAATTTGGCATGCAAACGTACCGGTGCAGTAGATTGTGTGGCTGGAGCTGATGCTGTAGTGTTACTGGGTCCTCCATACATTCCATAATTCTTCCTCAGCCTCTCCCTCTAGCAGAACAAAAATAAGGAAATTTAAATCCCTAAATATCACGGGAAACACGAAAAATCGAAAATCGAACTTTGAAGACAGTCAGGTTTTATACTTAGGTGACATTGACAATTCAAGATATACAGATAATTAAGAGTCAAAATCAGCAAGCATCGAGCATTTAGTTAAAAAATGTGGAAAGTGGCATAGAAACAGATTTGGTTAAAACTCAAATATAAATTTTCAGAACAAAGGGTATAATAGAAAAAAGCAAGCCAAAAATAATTTTTCGCATTGTTGCTATGGAAACCACGCGCCTTTCAAATAGCGTGTTTTGTACTTTATCATGACACTTGAATTTATGGTTAAACAAATATTTTTTTATCACTAGTCATTAATAAAAGCTTTTTTAATTATTATTTTATTTATATAAAAATACTCTATTTTAACAACTGTTGATTATTGAAATTCTTTTCACCTTTTGATAAATAAAACTAGTTTTTGGAGGTTAATTTTGCTTTAAAAAACAGCAAATTTGAAGTACTCACACTATAAGAAATCTACAACCACATTAAAGCTTATCAACATAAAATATATATTAAACAGTATTTGTTCTAGAAGAATCAAGAAAAAAATCTGCAGGCAACTTAAGCATTTATATATGATAACTGATTTAAATCCATAATTTTCTGTCACTTTTGCTTCAAATTACCTCCCTTTGGTATAGCTCTCTAACATAGGAGGAATAAACGGTAGTTTGCTTACATTGTTTTCAATAACAGTGTACAGAAGACTAGCAGAAAATTACTAACTTGGAGCAGTCTGAGTCTGAGCCTCAGTTTTGGCGTTTTCATGAGTCTTAATTACGGTGAGTGACTGAAATTTTTACAATTTACCATTACAACAGTTAGTGAAGGATCTTTAACATAAATTATAATAATACCATGCAGTAAAATATGTAACACTTGGCAGGTGTAGCTTATGTATTTCAATTTAATTCTGATTGATTATTAGTATATACCGGTATGTTAGCATTACTTTAGTATTTTATAATTAAAAAGAAAAGATTATGCATTATATGAGGAACCAGGAGGAGGGGGTATGCCCCCCCCCCCATAATATTGCCGATATTAAACTATAATATGATAAAATGAAATTAAATTCCCCAATATCGATTGTTTCTGCGGGCCTAACGTGAAAAAGTTGGTCATGATCAGTTACATAACTTTATCCCAAATCATAAAGTTTAATTTGAATTTAGTTTAATTTTGATTTGTTGTATTCACGGCATGTGTGTAACCAAGTCACTCACCAGCTATAATGATTATAACTTGAGTGATGGTCGGGTAAATAAAAATTCTGTATATAATAATAGATATCTTTATATACCATTTAAGATAATACCTGCTTTTTACATAAAAAATTATGAATTTATGAAAACCAACACTATAATGAATTATTTGTAAAATGGAATGACCTTTGTCAGAGGCGTAGTCACAAACTTAAAAGTGGGGGGGGGGCTCACTCCAGAAATTCTTTGACAAGCAAAAAAAAAAAAAAAAAAATTGAAAGTTCCACAAACCCGAATATCCAATTTCGGGGGGGGGGGGGGGGGGGGGGCAGGTGATTCCTTCAAAAAACATTTCCTATAGTAAAGTTTATGTTTGGGGGGGGGGGGGGGGGCGGCAAATCTTGACGATTTTTTATATTACATTACTATATAATACAACTATTACTTCAAGAGAAATGCTTACTCAGTTGTTGAACTTAAAAAAAATGCCATAAAATGAGGTTAAATATTATTTCAAAATAGCTGTGATTTTGTTCTTCATTAAAAAGTGGGGGGCACAGACATACTCTTGCCCCACCAGATCTGAAAGTGGGGGGGGGCTAAAATCTAACTGACTACGCCTATGTTTGTTATGGCGTCCGTAAAAAAAAAGGGGGGCAGGGGGTTAACTCTGTACTTAATATATTTTAGTTTAGGAAAGGGGATTACCTTGGAAGTATTGTGATACAGACAAGTGTATTATGTAGTGTAGTGGTAACTGAATTGTATATATACCACAGTAAAATAATTAATTAAAAAAAAAAATTTTAGCTGATGTCATCCAGTGTTTACTCATAAAAGAAAATTCATATTCAGCTAACATTTTCTCCGGTACCACTGAACTAATTTAAGCCAACTAGGTTCAATAATAAGCATCATTAGATTTAAAGCACGTAAATTTATGAAAAGAATATCTATACTCCATTTTTTGTCTCTTGGGGGGGGGGGGGGGGGTATTGGAAAGAAATGGAAACCATAATCTAGAGTTTTGACAAAACCTAGAACCAATTGACCTTTTTATTACAAGTTTTTTGAATTTAAAGAATATCTAAAATCAATACGGTCTCAATTTTGTGTTGTATACTTCTGTTTTTAGAATGAAATTAAACTTTGAAGCCAAACTAAAGAAGCAGAAACAGAATGGATGAGCTGATATAGAATTAGACAGGAAAAACATGTAAATAATACATTTAGTAAAAACGTTAACTTTTTAAAATAAAATGATTAACCATTGAGATCTCTTGGAATTTAATTGATTCCAATAAACATGCTTTCCATTCATCATCATTGCTCAAGCTCAACTAGAAATGGTTCTAAGTAAGTTGTATAATATTATTACATTTTAATTTTATCACTTTTTCAGATTATCATTATGAGAATACATTATTACAGTACAGACCATTGATGCTGGAAGTGAGTGGATAGTGGATGTACATGTATCCATAAATTGTACAGTGTATTCATGAAAGTGGATCAAATAAAAATGTTCAATCCAAAAGTAACATTCTTTGTTTGTCTGTTAGCATTTTTTTTATTGATGTAAATCTAATAACTATCAAATTTTAGCATGCAGATTCATAAATAGATAGTAGAAGAATCTGAAACATATCTTTATATTCTGCATTTTGAAGTATCATAATTAATACAAGGTCAATATTAAATGATTAATTAATTTCAAAACTGACAAAATGTTTTTGTGAGAAAAAAGAAAGAGCGCTAATTTATATATTGTACCTCATGTACCACTGATGTTGGTGTGAGTGAAATAAAAATAATGATGATGATGAACTAGTTAAAAGTCGGACGACACGTTCCTCAAATTTATATGTTTTGTATCTCTTGGTATTAGGCCACACCAATTTAATTTCTTGTTCGTCGGACATTGGATTTAAAAAAAGTACAAGCGGGCAAGTGGTAAAATGTTAATATTATTACTTTTTTCTGGCCAATTGTTTTAGGCGGAGCGTGAAAAAATTTGAGCAGACAATTATATTTTTCTGATTTACAGAGTAAGCAGATTAAAAATACAATAAACAGAAATGACAATGACACAGAAAATAGCACAGAATTCCTATGATGCGGGAAATTTAAATTAATATTATTTGTATCGGTTTGTTTAGATACGAGCGCGCGGGTCCGACGAACAAAATTTTTAATGGTGTGGCCTTACACATGTATATATAAAATATTCATATTTTTCCTTCTCTTCTGATTTCTACATTGCTTTCAAAATGTTTTTAAATATAAGTACAATAAAAATTTCGATATATGCCATTCAAAGATTGCCCAGTAGGGTTTTAATGAATTTCTTTTAGGGTCAGTTCAAATTTAGACATTCATACATATTTAGCCCTTCCAGATTTTTTTTAGGCACCAGTAGCTACTGAGGTCTTAGCTGTCCTGCAATATTGTTTCTAAATTAGGACAGTAGGAGAATATATCATCGGTTCAATACCAAAGACAGACATGGTATCGTTTTTGAAAGTGCACACTGAAAGAAATACATTGTGATTTTAACTAGTGTGCCTCGTAAAGCGTTTGTAGTGATTAGTAATCTTTCTGTTTACTGTCTAAGATAGTTAGAAGTGGAGCGGGGGTTGTATAGATACTTAAATACCTAGTGAAAGTTACTTATCAATTCTAGATTTACTAATCTTATCTAGTAAATCTACCCAATACCTAGTAAAACTACTTTTAAGGTAGTGATTGTATGGACAGTAAATTTACTAGTCTTCTTAGTACTTCAACTATTTTTTTTTCAGTGCATGGTGTGGGGTACATGTAGGCATTAAAAAAACTGCAAAAAAAGTGGGGAAATTCTCCAAACTCGGGGGTGGGGGTAACACACATTATGTTGAGAAAAAAGTTTGGTTGGGGATGTCATCCTGATGCTACATGCCTGATTGACATGGTTTAACTTTAAAATTATGTTAGCTGTCATAGTGACTCTTTCTCATAAACTAGAATTATTGTGAGCAAGCTCATAAAATGATACCAACCCTCCTGCTATTGCATTAAATGTTTTTTATTGCAAAAAGGTTAAATATTAATTTGAAACCTATTAAAATTTTGCTAGTGTAGATGTACTTACCAAAAATGACTATGACAAATACTCAAGTCATAAGTAGTAAAACCGTTGTGTTGAGCACAAACTCATATAGTACACTTTTACTGCAGTGACCTTGAAAAAGCTATGTCCTTGAGTCAAGGTCAAACTGTCCAAATGAACTTTGGTCAAGGTCATGACCAACCTACAGTTCAAAAATAATTCCCGAGATGAAACCAAGTCTTTTCATTAGAATGTTACAGAATGGGCGAAGATTGCACTTTTCTTCTACCAATGACCTTGAACTTGTTCAAATGACCTTGAGTCAAGTTTTTGACAATCTCTCGATCACAAGCAATCTTAATATCAAGTATGAACTTTCAGTGGCACTTCATTGAAATGTTATGGACAAGTCAAAATTTTACATACATATGGATCGGTGAACAAGGTGATTCCCCCCCCTTTCAAAGTTTCGTTTGTGAGGAATATAAAATTCCTTTTGAAATTGAATGGGCATTTATTTATCAACAATAGTAAAATTATGATTATGCATTGATCAGAACCAATATGACCAATATAATGGACACTGTACATGTATTCATATACCCCCATCCCTTCAAAAAAGCTTATAAATGCCAGATTACCACACATTTTAACCATTTGTAACTTTTTTCTACTAAAGTTGCCTGCAAATTTTATTGTATAGATATGACATATAGATAACCCGTAACAAGATCACAACGTTCATTTTTCCAGCAGTGGTTGTAGATTTTGTGTATATAGTTATAAACATATGTAACTTTTTTCAAAATTAATAAGCATTGACGCCATGTTCTTTTCCCGTTGTCATGGCAACAATATCAGTACAGAAATTTTGTTTTTCCTGTTTTTTAAGAATAAAGTAATTCCACCTTTCAACAAATAAAGTAACCAAAATACCTCATCTTATCACGTTCAGAAAAAATATTCATAGAAAAATGTCTAAAAATCATTGATTTTCATAAGGATTTTTGAGCCCGTTGCTAAGGAAATGAATTTCCTTGGATACCAGTCCCTTCATACGTTCAAAAAAAAATTTTAATTGTGTTTTAGCATTAGGTAGGACAAAATCTTTCATATACCAAAAGCTTTTGAAAAAATAAAATTTTGACTTTCCATTCAATGCTCGATGCTTGCTGATTTTGACTCTTAAAAGAATGAATAAAAGAATGAATGATAATTGGCCACCTCTTTCTCCTTGGCCTCGTTCTCACTCTGAGACAGGGCCAGGGCCAACTGTAGCTCCTCCTCCTCCTGGATCTCCTGCTCCGACTTCTGGGGCGGGGCCTAAATATTATATAAATATCATATTAAATATTCTGGGGCGGGGCCTAAATATTGTCAGTCAATTTCATAATCACTCATAATAAAGAAATATCACAACTATATACAATGTACATGTATATAAGCACTGTATTTGAAAGTGTTCAAATATGCCAAACAAGTACCTGTTGTTGCTTAGACAGCGGGCTAGCTAAATACTCAGCAGGTAATTCAGAATCAGATTCCTTCTTCTTGGTTGGTCTAAAAGTAAGGAAACTAAGTATTATTACATGTATCTCTTTTTTGTAATGCAGCTAAATCACAGTAAAACAATCAACATGACTTTAGTCTACATACTGTTGAATCTTGTCGTAGCAGGAGTCACACACCCTCACTTCTCTCTCGATTCCAAACTTAGGGATAATGGAGGATTTAGAGGAACACTTGCCACAGAAAACATCCCCACAGCTTCGGCAGTGATGCTGTAAAATTACACAATACCCACAGAGTTGTGGAAAACTTTTTCAGATAGCCGGTCATTCGGACCGACAAGAAAACAAAATAAGCCGGTCCGAAGTGATTTTTGTCAGTCCGAAATAGTAAGTTGCAAAATGAAAAAAAACAATATTTAATCACTTAATAACACATTTTTAAAATAAATATTAATCATGTTTATCTGCACTTGATCATGTTAATAATGATACAAAATTCAGTCTCGATTTCCAAGTCCTCTTCCGTTTTCTTTTAATTTCGCATTCATAAATAACAATACTTGATACCACCGCTTTTCGGCAGGTCGCAATGCTCATTCAGCATAGTGAATGCAATTTCTAAAAAAAACATTTATGAATTTTGGAATTATATTAACCTAGAAAATTGGTCTAGAATTTGCAAAAATTCTTTGCATTGATAATAAAGATATCAACACAATCGAGAAAAAAAAACGGGACAGTCGGTAGCACTAGATTTACTGCTTTCCCCACCTGTGCTTGAATTCCTTCTGTTCAAATTTTTCAGATTTTAAATCAGCTCCTCTTTATTTTTCTCTTTGATACGTTTTCTACCTAATTCTGTCCCAGTTGTAAATTTAATAGGTCATGAGAACCATGCTAGTTTCGCTTTCTCGATTAAAGAAAATGTATTACGCAATCGCATATAAGGTACGATAATTAAGATGGGAAATGTACACCTTATAAATGGAAAAACAAAAAAAAACTTTAACCAAAAAAAAAGGGACCGGTCATTTGGACCGACACTGATAGCATTTTTACCGGTCATGCGAATTTTTTGTCGGTTTTGCCGGCATGACCGGCAGTTTTCCACAACTCTGTACCCATAATACTGGTAGATATCCTACGTCTATAACCATTAGTTAAACATGAAATACTTGTATATTGACTGATGTTATTATAGTTATTTCAGTTTATCAAGTCTTAACATAATTACCTGTCTGTTGAATGTCCCGAATCTGGTCCGACACCTGGCACAGGTGTCCCCCTCCTTCCACTCTGGGGCCTTCTCTGCTGTAAACATGGCATCTGCTTCCTTCAGGGTTGGGAATGTGTGACCTGAGATTGAAAAGAGGGGAACATGCATGTAAATGTACACCAGGAAATATATATAAAGCCTAAATAAAGATCTGTTATCAAACATAAGATATTGTACTGCTCCCAAACATTTTTTTTTTCTGTCCTTGTTGATAATCTCTGTTGATATACTTATATTTCTAAGTAACCATTTACCTAACAAGATTTCTTTCATGAATTGTTTATTTTAGGAGTTCATTATCATTTGCTATGATTGGTAATATATATTTCAAATCTGGAGAAAACACATGTACTATTTAAAAAGTCAGAATACCAAGGATTAATTTAAAGCTAAAAAAAAAGCTCTTGGTTTTTATGTCAAGAATCAATAAAACATTGATGAATTATTTTTTACCTTCCATCTTCATTAAATTAAAGGTATCTTGGACAACTTTGTAGTTGGGTTCATTTCTGAAGGCATGGGACCAACACTGAATCAGTTCACATATCTTGCCTTTGATGGGATCTGGTTTGCTCTGAAAGTCAAAAAAAAAAAACTTAACATGTAACCGAATTTTTCAACTGTAGAAATAATGATTTAGACCATACCTTTGCAATGTCTTTTAGGAACTCCATAAACTCTTTAGTGGCCACCTCCTCATGGATGATGGAGCCACAGTTCTTCACACAGGATTCCAAAGTCTGAAATTTTAAAAGCAAATATTTAAAAGTGTATAATAACCACAATTGCTTAAACAAATATCTTTATATAGCTTCATATCCTGTCATTTAAACAAATTGAAAATACATGTATATCCATTTGCTGTAATTCACAAATATTACCATAAACATTCAGTATAAAAAATGTAGGAAAAAATTAAAAGCAATCTTGTGTACATTTTAGGAAATGGACACTGTACTTACCTGCAAAGCAAACATTGCAACATGTGGATTGTCTGCAGTAATCTTTTTCTTCATTTGAGTAATTGCATACTTGCCCCTGAAAAATTAAGATAAAATAGTAAAGCATGGAAGAATTGCAAATTGTTGAATGAGAAGAAGCTAAAAATGTTCAAATGTTCTAAAAAAGTACGATGAAGATGGCATGCATTCTACATTTTAAATCCCAGCTGTAGTGGCACTTCAGTTTTATTTTAAATATTTTATATGATACTGCAAACAATTAAAAAAAATATTAAACACTAGCCTTCTATTAGGACTTGGCACAAAGAGCATGCATTACATGCATAATTAACCTTGAGTAATTTGACACGTTTTAACATTTTCCCACCAAAGCATGCTGACTATATGTTCAAATCAAAATCAGCAACAATTCATACTGTACATCCCTCTGTCTGATAGTCACATACATGAATATTATATTAGAGTTTTTGTCTCAATAACAATACATACTGTACATCTCCCTGTCTGATACAGTCACAGATCTGAAGAATGGAATCCCAGTCTGGCTCAAGAAGTAGCTGACTTGTTGCCTTTTCTGATTAAAATCAAAACAAAAAGAAACATATTTAAAAACAATAAGAGAAATATTTATGAAAAATTTTTCTTTAATAATTGTCTATATACAGTAACTATTTAAAAAAAATATAACATAAATGAAAAGGAGTAGATTTCTGATTTCCAATTCCTGTTATCAATTTATTTTAAGACTTTTATTGGGATACAAATTTCCGGTTTAATGTTACAAATGAAGAATAACAGAGACCTCAGAATGGAATACTCAGAAGCCTCTGGTTTTATCCTATCACCAACTGGAAGTTGTATCCCAATATATGTCTTAAAATTTATCGAGGACATTTTCAAGGAATAAATGAGTTGTTTACAATAAAGAGGCTTAACCTGAGACATAAGAGACAATTTAATTAATAGACAACAAAAAAGTATTATCAAGCGAACGATGTCATTTTAAACCAGCTTTGAGTTGGGGTGTCTTAGCTGCAATAATGTACCCCTTTCCAATTTTTTTAATCTGATATTTTCTGGAGTGGGCTACAATTCCATGGCATCTCCGTAATGGTGCAAATATTTTTTTTTAAATAGGGGCGACTGCAGGTAAAATAAATTGTGTTTACATTCAACTTACTTCTGATAAGACGAAATTTTCATTCACTGTCATTAACATAGCCTGTTAAATGTGAAAAACGTGTAAAATAACTCTGCGTGTTTCGCAGTCGTTTTATTCTGCAGCCATGACAGTTCACATGTGACGTAATGAGACTTTCACTTGAAATTTAGAAGAACTTAATAAAGCAAACGTCGCTTTTATAAATAATTGTGCTGAATTGTATCACAAAAATATTGATAAATAAAAACCATTACAAGAGTTAATTTTACGCAATCAGCGATATTTATGCTTAAAAGAAGGAAATTCCTAAAAGATACCGTTCCTATAGAACCTAAATTCTCATTGGCTGTCCCAAAATTCAATCTATCAAGGTCAGTAAACATAGCGGATAAATTCAAGTTGTGATGTTGACATACACAAAAAATAACCGAAATATGGATCATTCTGTATATTTTTGGATTAATTTACGTCTTGGATGACTTCATTTTTGGAGTCAAGGTAAGAAATATTAATAAAATAGCCATTTACTGACAATTTGAGCTGAAATCTGTGCGGGAGAGAATCGCTCCCGCTGCTGCACCATTACAGAGATCCTAAGGAGTTGTAGCTCTCTCCCCCCCAAAAAAGGGAGAGGGCTAAATTATTGCAGCTAGGGATGTCTGAAAATGAGTTGGGTCCCTTGTGGTAAAAATAAGTAGGGGTGCCCTCTCTACGAAACAAATGCCTGCACCAGGAGGGCTATAAAGAATGTTTTTGGAAAAGTTATGTTGTGAAAGTAGTAAAAAATATGATAGGAACACCCGGCTAGTAAACTTTTGAGATGGCAGCATAAATGAACAGAGATATAAATTGAGAAAACAGTTCACTTTTTTGTGTGCAATAAATATACACTTTTTTCAATGGGTCACATTGTATTTGTAGCTCTCTGGTCCTCTATCCCTATGTTGCTGGGTTTTTTTTCAGACCACTAAGCTACAGCTTTCACGGGATATATTTAATGAAGTCTACATAAATACATTTTTGTATATAACTGAGCAAAGGTAACTAGCTTGACATAAACAAAACATCCTTCAGCAGTCCTTGCCACATCACTCTTCCTGTTTGTTGAAAATGCATGTTCTCCCATCTTGGGCTCTCGTGTTATATAGCACTGGAGTAATTAAAAACTTAATTACTTACCTAAAGCCTTGTCAAAGGCCGACGATTTGCTTGAAAACATACTCAGTCTTTCTTTCTGCGAATATCTAACAATAATGACTCAATGACATAACCCGACTGATAAATATACAAGGTCGCTTATATCCAATACAAATATCATCTTTTAATAAGGAGTGTAAATTAAACATCATTTTAATTCAAAAGTTTTTTGCTTACTCAGAAAATCTAAGAACTATGAAATCATGAATACACATGGGAATTATAAATCCATTATCTTTTTTTAATGATATAAGAGATACAAAATAATCAGACTCATTGAAACGTTTTCTTTAACGATTTTGGAAAAGATTTACCAAGAGACAAACAAACATTGAGTATGGTGATAAACAAACAGAATAGAGAAAAAGAAGAAGACAAAAAAGAGACATGTGTAGCCCAAATTATTCTGTCTAATACACACATAGTCTAATATCTACATAAGAAAAATGTGTCTTTTACTCGGTCCAACAAGTTCAGGGAAAACTTTGCTAACAAGAAAACTGAAGTCGAATGGTATCCTTTTTCAGCTAAGTGTCGTTGCTAGACCAAGTTGAAGTGTGATGCATGTCATGTTTAATTTTTCTCGTTCATCACTTAAAACCAAAAATGACTGAATGTAGCATATAGGTACAATAGTAATCTCAGCGAGATGTCGTAGGGACTAAAAATTTTGGTCTGGTGTCCCTCAACATCTCAGTTCAGTGTCACACAAAGTGATTCGTGTTTTCTTGCCCCCACTTTGACCACTTGTTTCAATCAATACGGGCTAAAACTTTTTCTTTTGGACATCCCTTGAAGTATTGATCACTTTAAACTTATGTTTCTTACGTCCCTTAAAAGGTTTAAATCCCACAAAATATTACCTTTGTTGATTTTTGATAGAAATATCCCATTTTTTTAAACCTCTGATGCTAAAGAGTTCCACATTAGTCTGCTTCAAATGCTTTGGGTGCAAAACACAGTTTTATGTATGACGTTATCAGGACGTTACTTGGTGCGGGACAAGCAAAACTGACCCCTATAAAAAAATAAAATGGAGGCTTGTTACATAGACTTCTGCATATCAATGGAAAGATAAAATTGTGAATTTTGTAAATATTCAACTATAATACATTCATCGATTACTACTGGGGGGTATTTGACACCTGAAATATGGGGGATATTGGGTTGTTTATGCATCCATTTTCAGTGCACCTATGCATTTTTAACCCCCCTGGTCAACAAAAACAGAAAAAATCAGACAAAATAAGTTGCATGCATTTCACAGAACAAGTCTTAAGGTTTTCTTTTAGTGTGCTTTCAGGGTACATTTTCCACCTCTTGAAAGAGCTACATTACCTGCTAATTGACTCGTGCAATTCTGCACATGTGAAAATTGGATGTTTTGGGAGTTATCTCCCCCTATTAAAAAGTCTCACAATTTTTTTTTTCTAAAAATGAATGCACATTTTTTTCTTTAAATATTAAGATAAGACTCTACTTTATGCGAATAAAAACAAAAAAGATGCAGTTTTCATCTAGACTCCTATAAATAGCAGGAAAATCCCTACCCAGCATGCTTCTCTCTGGGAAAAACCCCCTGGATTTTATACGAAACTGTGTTTAGCTACCTTTGTACCATGGTTTATTTCTAAGGAAATAGTTGTAGAATGAAGTATTTGAAGCAGACTTGCTTGGTCGTTCGTCCTTTTGTAAAACGGACCCCTGGGACACTAATCTTCAGCTAAAGAATTCAGAAAAAAGACACTTCCTTGTCTCCTTGAATATCCCATTTTTTGCAAAAAAAGGAATCACCTCCATCTTGAGATCGTGAGCGCAATATCTTATTTTGTTTTGAAAAAAGTCTAGCATTCAGTAAACTTAAAGAGATTTACTGTCATTTACAATGCTATATACCCTTATATAGATTGTAAAATTGTCATTTATCATCTGTTTCATCTGGCAACTGATTGTCCACTTTTAGATAAATTATGAAATTTTTGTACAGATTTTCCCAAATGTAACAAATGATTATGAACTGATTAGAGTATTATTTACTTCATAAATGATAGCTTAATTAATATTTAACTCATATACATCTGTCTTGTGTAAAGATACTTCATATGGTCCAGAGGATGCTTTGAAAAGTGACAACAACAACAAAAATCAGTAAATTTCCAGAAATTCATTTGTTTAATTAAATTATGTTTCTTTAACTTGTATCTAAGATGATTTAAAATGTGGCATTGCTAATATACCATCAACATTGCCAACAGTAAGTAATTTGCTCAATATTTATTATAAAATGCCTTATAGAACAAGATGTGTTTGTGAAACACTATGCGCCCGGCGGCAACAAAAATCAAAAAAGCTATTTTTAGCATACTAGCATAGGTAAAAGTCAACCTTGGTGTCATTTGAAAGAACTTGATTAAAGGTCATTTTATGACCTTGGTGTCCAATGGTATTTTTTGATATGAACTTGAACATTCATAGCTAGGTCAATATTATCTTTTAAAATGAAATTTCATGCACACCAAGTGGATTTTATGAAAGTCTATTTTAAACATATATTTCATGTAATACAACTTGATATATATATTTTTTCACTTTTGAAACATTTCAAAAGTTATGATGAAAAAAATAGGTAGGTCGGGTAGCAGGAAAGCTATTTTTAGCATATAGGTCACAGTCATATAGGTCACCAGGTTCATTGATCTTGGTGTCATTTGAAAGAACTTTATTAGTGTACTATGCATACTAAATATGAAGTCTCTATTTTTCATGGTTCAAAAGTTATGCCGAAGGTTAAAGTTTGCAGACAGAAAAGCTATTTTTAGCATATAGGTCACAGTCAAGGTCACAAGGTCATTAATATTGGTGTCATTTGAAATGGTTTAATTTGCTTAGTGTATCAATCTTGACTCTAATTTTACAAATTATACATGTAGAAAATTCTGCAATGAATTTTTCTTTTCATTTTAGATTGGTACTAACCTTGTTAATATAACACTGAACAAGAAACAAGAAATTACTGTCAGAGAACTTGGAGGGCCTATGTCTCCATTATGGCCAAATTATCTCAAAGATTGCAACAGTCTGTTGGTGAGTTAGTAAATTATGCCTAGCAATGAAATCATGGTCAGACCACATAAAATTTAGTGAGAGATTCTTTTCCAGTTTGGACAAATTCTGAACCAATCAGTGAAAACAATATACCCGGTATGCTGCTAGTATAAAAAAAATTCAAATGTCTTATTTCAAATATTTGTTCACAAGCAAACTTTTCAAAATTGAAGTTAAAGATTTGAATACATTTGGTATTGAAGGGTTTAAATTGAGAAACTACAATCACAAAACATAAGTTTTCTTACCATATTACATCCAGCCTTGTATCCTATAATGAATTAGAGATATTTACATATTCCCTCTTTGTCTTTGGGTAATAAATAGCAATAACTGGTAAAATCCACCTGTGACATCACTCCTTTGTTTGGGTGCTGCATTATTTTGCAGGAATGGAGAGTTGCAAATTACACTGGAAACAGAATTTCTTTTTCTGTTCTTTTTCTCCTTCCTATTGCCTCTACAGAAGAAAGAACTTAGAAAATTTTATCGATTTTATATTCACATAAAGAAAATAAATGTGCCACCGCTGAGAATCTAACCCTGTACCTTCACCTTCAGAGTTGGTTACTCATTTCACTGAGCTATCGAAGCTGTTGAATGACACTGGATTAAAACAACTTCAGTGCACTTTTTTTGCCTTGCTTTCTATATATATATATATATATATATATATATATATATATATATATATATATATATATATATATATATATATATATATATATATAAATTAAATACCACTAATAGATATGTATAGTATCATTTAAATATTGTTTACTATATATTAACAAACAATGAATATAAGCGTTTAAAAAGGCGGATTTTACGTGGGTTAATAAATATACTCGTAACTTTCCATTCCTTAAAAGTAATGGGCCTCGGCCCCTTTGTGGCCTTGGCTCCATTAATTTTAAGGAATGGAGCGCTACTTGTACATTAACCCTTGCGTAATAGATATTTTTATCCTCTTTGAAGATGTATATTGCTTTGTGTTTGTTTATCATTCGATTCCATTGACAATTGGTTAAAATAACATTGCTATAAATGTTTAAGTCACATAAACTTACATGATTTACGGGTAATTAACATCTTTTATTTTGTTACAGTACGTGATTGATATGTCAAATCGTCTTCAGTTGGCGGCCGCCTGTATGTTGTTCCTTACTGTCCTTACAAATCCAAACTTAAAAGACTGTCAGGTGTTGGTGCTTCTGAACAAGATGTGAGTATATAATTCTTCTGTTGAGTTTTACTGTAATAAATATGACATCAAAAGAAAGAAAAGACCTGAATTAAAAGTGGAATAAACACAGATTTTGTCCAGGAAGCACAAAAATAATGCTGGAGTACATGAACACAGAGGAAAATCAATACAAACATGTCCATGATGATATCTATTTATACGCATTAAATTGTTTACCAAATTGTTATTAATCAGACACATGACCATTTCAGAGATTTAGCTACTTCAATGAGCAGACTTGAGTTTGAATCTCTGTTCCGATGGAATGATATTGTCCGCCATAGTAAACACAAGATCTCCCTGAAGGAAGTTAGTGCTGTGACAGGCCAGGGGCTCTCAGGGGTTCTGGAATGGATGCAGCAACATAGCAGATGATGTTTGTAAAACCTAGTGATATTTTTGTAATATAACCTTGCCAGCCAATATGCTGTGTTGTGATAACAGCATTAAACTACAGTGTTGCACAGTATTATATGATTGTTCTAGTGCTCCAGGTGTGTGATTTATTTGTGTTGGTCTGTTCCTTTTTTCCTGATTACTTCTAAAGGGTGTTCATGACATGACTTTGTAGACACTGCATGGTTAGAGATAAAGATTTTTTGGCTACTCACTCGTCCTTTTCACTCAAAAACTGATTTTTAATGGATGGAAATTTTTTCGTGTTTCATCATTGATGAAATGAGAAATAAAATGTGATGTGATGGTTTGTCAAAAACATATATATGTGCTTATTATATATCTATAAATTTTAGGAACAGAAAGATTATTACATAATGTTGTTGCATATATACAACTCAGATGAAGAAATTAATTGTGTATTCATACATGTGTTATTTCATAGTTATTTGTACTTTTTTGCAAGAATGCAACTCAAATGATGAGATTTATTGTGTATATATACATGTACATGTATTTAACCTAAGTAGGATAGAGGTTATGCTTTCCCAAAGCCTTTGTGATAAAATGTCATAATGTCTGAAAGTCTCTTTGATATAATATGTCAAATATATAATACAGTGTCTGATAGTTCATGTATGTATGAATGATTTTGTTCCATTGCCTGTGTGATATAATATATGACATTATACCTGATCAACTGTATGATATGTGTTCATGTCTGAAAATGTGTGTGAGATAATCATGTATCATTGTGTCAGATAGTATGTGTGATATAATATGTCATTGTGTCTGATACTGTATACAGGGTTATTTTTGCCCAGTGTTATTTTAACCCTTCTGCACTTACTATCAATTTTGCCCCATTTTAAATTTTCTCAGTTATAGTTCTGTTTATTAAATCATGCTGTATTCTTTGAGTTTGAATTCACCTGTTAAAACTTGCCCAACCATGAAGAGAGCTGAAGGGGGGAAAATAAAATGGATGTGAAAATTTCCCTTTAAATAGTAATGTGTGTGATGTAGAATTAGGGGTTGTATGTATTAACAATCAATCCTATGCATTTATAATTGGTTGTGAAGAAGCTAAAAAAAACATGTCTATTTACAACAAAGACAATGATGACTTTGTTTTTCAATTACCCTAGAAAAATCCATTAAAAAATCATGATTTTTCCATTGTATATAGGCTGGATTTTTTCATGAGTCATGATATATTCTGATATTTGTGAAATGCATGTGCACACTTAGCAAAATGTTCTTGCAGTTCAGCCAATGCTGTTGAATGAATGATACATCTTTTCTTTAAAAGGGCTGATAAATTACTTAATGAATTGTTTGAAGACAATTTTGTTAATGATATGGAGTATATAATAGTGTTGGAGTTTAGATCTCAAATGTAATATACAAAGTCTTGACAAAGCAAAGAACATGTATCCTGCTTCCTGTTGATTAAACTTTCCTGAAATGGTGTTTTTATATTAGTTTTATTTGATAAAAAGTATTCATTCTTTTCTAGTTTAGACAAATATTCTCATGTCTACATCAGCATCATAAAAGGTCTCTCAAATCTGTGATTTTACTTACTGGTCAGTCAGCTCTCGCTCAGACAGCTTATAGGTTATTTATTAGTTAATCAGTAAAACTTGTTTATTACGAACACAGATGTTGCGAATTCACAGATTTAGCAAAGTTAACTTGGATCCCCAGTTATATAAATTTTATGAAATTCTTATATGGATATAACAAATTACGAATATATCAAAGTGATTTCATAGGTCCCAGTGGCTTTGTTATAACAGAGTTTTGCTGTATTTTCCTTATTCATAGGCCAACCAGGTCTGTGGGTCTTCTTTTCTTTCTTAACAGGAATGCTACTGAGTATACAGCCATATTTGTTGTTTCTTAGATTGATTGATTGTATATTGTTTAAAGTCTAGAGAATTGTTCACTCATATGGAGAAGACACCACTTGTCCTATACTCGGCACTCAGGGCCATTGAGCAGGAAGGGATCTTTTTTGTGCCAGCATTCTTCTGTGACAATTAAAAAATATTCCATACAATATATTGTAAATCACACTTAAGTTTCTATTTATACATGTCAAAGTGTTAAAGAAGTTATATATAATGTAAATCTAATCCGCAGAACGATTTTCATAGCAACGTCATCGTCCCACAGTGGGATTTGTGGAAATATTCACTCCAACCCCAAATAACATGAATACAAATTGCATTTAATTCAAGCATATGGAAGAATACATATCAATTTCCATATAGTCATATGTGAATGCAGTCGCTTTATACCATAATATCAAGGTCACCATTTCATTAATAATACTGTACTAATTACATTAATTTTATGTAGGTTGTTCTTCATAAGGGCAAATGGTATGGTTTTTAAGGTTAAAGCACTGCACAGCCTCTCTGATTTTCCAACAAATACTGGTAGTAAAATCCTAAGGTAAACTGAAGCCCATTATGTCTTGGAAAATGCAGTTAAATTCAAGGTTTATTGTACTATGACATATTACCATGTCCCATATTGCACCTAATGACTTAGAGCAATTAACTGCCGTTTATTCATGGTGCATGTACAAATTATACCTTCTAGGCACTGTCTATACATAAATGAACTCAACATTTCTGCTTTACTTGGGAAAATGTGCAGGCAGTATAAGACCAAATAAATCTGATGATTTCTTTTCCTCACGTAATATAAATTTTAAAAGGCAGTGACTTCATCTGTACATATCTTGAGCTGCATTAACAGAGGCCATTTTAGAGAAACGAAGGAACACTTTTTTCTTGTTCAGTTTATTTCTTAGCATACATGTATATGTGTTATATACTGTACATGTACTTAAATTCTGAATGACAAATTTACAGTGATTTAACCTGAAAAGTCTATATCAATAAAAACAAACTTAAAAATAAAAAATAACAAAGCTGGAATGCTCAAGTTGTACAACCAGTCAGAAAATAACTGTATATTTCAAACTAAACAACCAATAGAGAACAATTTAAATCTTCACTTTCTCTTCAAAAAAATCAAAACAAGATTTAATGATTTGAGTCTTCATATAAATGCTTTAAAATTTGATTTTCAGAAAAAGGGATACCATTACCATCTTTATGTATAAACCTGTAATAATAAATGTTCTGTGAAAATAAAATTATTTTATCACTGTTTATAGTTTCTCAGATTTATTCCTGCTCCTAATCCATGATTAAATGTGTATTGTTCCCCAGTATACAACTTAACCTGTACTGAAATATTCTAATGGTAAGAAATGGCACAGCCATACAAGAGTAAATTAATGTATCTCTTCTATATTAATTGTTTTGAAGTATTAGTTCAGTTCACTGACAAAGTCTAGCATCAATTAATTATTTAGCTAATAAAACAAAGTTTTTACACAGGTTTGTCAGAATATGTTTTGTTTATATGTACATACCAGTATTCATACTTCTTGAGAGCATATCGAAAAATAGTCAATATAAATACATGAACTTTATTCCTATGAACTGAAGATTTGACTTTTCTTTTTTTTTTTGGCAATTTTTTTTCTACATAAATTAAGATAAATCAGTTGAAAAATATATTTAAAGTGTTTGAAATGCAGTGACTGTGAGGAACCAATAGATACATGTCCTGCTCTTTGCCAATAACCAATTCCTGTGAAATGATTCTGATTCTGAGCATACAAGAAATACTTATCCTAATAAGTAAACAGTGGAATGACTGATGACAAAAGTATTGTGAGATGTTTTTGTACAAAAAATTGCTGTACACTAAATGCTTAATGATCTAAAGCACTATTTGATCTAATTTTCGTAGTTTTGATACCCAAATTGATGAATGATTATGAATATTGATTCATGGGGAAAAATGTGATTCAGTATATATACATGTGCATCACTGTACAGTATTATGGAATGCTAATAAAATCTATTGAAATGAATTTTCGAATCCTTTAAATTTTATAAAACCAATTTTAGAGTATATTTAATAAAAGTGTCAACATATACAAGAATCCATTTTAGCTCTGGAAAAAGAACTACTTTTTTAAAGCAAAGTTGTCAATCTGTGGTAAGCAAACTTAGATTGCCTAGTTTTCCTCAAAAAACAGCATTAAAACAAGAACAAAAAGATTAATAACAGAAAAAAGAAAAAAAAACAAGGTAAACATAAAGACACAACCATTTTAAAACATGTGGTGGAATGACTTAAGAAATTAATGTAAATATATAATGCACCAACTACAACTCTTAACAACTAATGGAATAGTAAGTAAATTGTACACAACCACATGTAATGTGTTAATGCCATTTTTCACAATATATTATAACTGTATGAAATGTCACATAGACCACATGCCTTGCATGTGTAATATGTACATAAACCATCAACTGTAAATGGAATGTGCGTAATTACTATTAACACAGAGTTTTAGAACTTCAGTCATTCTAATTTAATGATAGATAATACACAAACACTTCACCATCACAAACCATGAAGCACTTTCTATTGCACTTAACACAATGAATTGTTGATCTTAGGGAGTAATTTTGTACACTCCCTTCTATCAGTAAAAACAAAACAATACCACTGTTAATTAAACAAAAAACCTTTGTGTGTCAAGCTCTCAGGAAAATGTTCTTTCCTGCCCTCCCTCAATTAACACAGTATATTACATATTTACAGACATCTATTAAAAGCATTCTGTATTCTTCTAAAAGATGTTTTAGACCACTTAAATGAAAGAGAATGAGTTTTTGATCTTTGGAACACACACAAATATTCCCTTCAACTACTGTTACTTATTTACTCCAGCATTAAAATTCAACTTCAGGGAACAAATTTGACAAAATCACAATGAATATAAATGCATTGAGTGTAGGACAGTTTTATGAAATACTAGTATATAAACTATCCCCTATATAACATCTTGGTGTCGTTGTATCATGGAAGTTAACACAGACAAATGTATTAATATAACAATGAGCCACAATAAAGCAGCTAAGATTTTACAATGCCTCTTATTTAATCACGATACAAATGCCACATTTTAAGGCATTTCTAAAACCCTGTATCAAATGGCCAAATTCTCAAAGAAGCCAAAATAAATTTAATTAACTCTAAAGTGCTGTATATCTCTTGACTATTTTGAAAAAAAAAAAGCAATGTATTTGTTTCAGAGAATAGATATAAGTATATTCTCTGCACAATAACCAGAATGTTATCTTCTTATCAATACAGTCTCTGAGTACCGGTACTAACATCAAATAAATTTCTTGTGAATAAATGTGATTTACAGTGACCAAAATTTTAGGCCTATAGTCTTTTCACACTATTAAATTGTGCAGTATTTTTTAATACAGTGTTCATTTAGTTATACATGTATCTGACTGTTTCAGTCCAGTAATTTGGTATCTTACAGTGTTTACCAAATAATAACCTAGTGTTCATTCAGTTATAAGGTAACAGTGTCTATTGTGTCTACTGTCATAGCTAACAGTGTCTTTTATAACTTTGTCTATCCAGTCAAAGAAAACAGTCTATACAGTACAAGCCGTTTTATTTAATACCTGTTTTATATCATAGGCCGTTTTTTATCATAGATATTTAAAACACAAAACCATTTCTTAATAATTCAATGTTAATTTCTTACGTTATTATCATAGGTAAAAGTGTGTACTTCGGTTACTATCATAGAAAAATTTCGTCCGTAATATTTTTTTCACACCTTTTTCACTCTGGAGACAATTAACAAAACAAAAGATAACACCTGTCAACACCTGTGGCCCATGCACTGTCGCTTGTCTATACACAATGGCTTGACTGAGGGGGATTAGTCACACTCCAGCGCACTTTACCTGAGCGATGACTGGAAGTTGGTTTATTTCACAAAGTACATTACACAACAACAGGAAGCCATCCACAATCTTTTTTTCTTCTTTTGTTTAACTGTTTAATTGTACATTGATAATAAATGTGTTTTACCAAAATGTGTTGAATCTAAATTAAGTGTCAATTTACCCAAGCTATCTTACGCTTGTTGCCTGATCAATGGTCATAATTAATCACATTATTATAAATTGTCCAATTTATTCAGAAGTGATGTGAAATTAACTTTTTAACCAGCCTGTCCAAGCGGCTTTGATTTACATCAGTGTATGAATTAATTTAATTTCAATTAAATGGCACCATTAAGTGTAATTAGCGCTTGGGTGCAAGGAAGAAAATAATTGGGCTTGTGTTTTAGATGAATTTTCACACTTAATAGCTTGAAGGTTGAAAAAGAATGAGAAAGAATTAAACAATTTTAATTCATGTTCTGTTATGTTGTAACATAATTTTGATACCGTAAATATTGTGTAGTTGGTAAGCAATTTGTGTTATAGAGCTGAAATGTTGAACTAACATTTTTGTAACTAAATGTTTTTTTCGTTTGTACGTTTTTATATACTGTTTATAGATATTTTCTCTTTTTGTTTTGTGTTTCATTAAAACTGCAACGTAAAAAAAAAACAAACGAATTATTAATAGATTGAATTGATCATAGAACCTAAAAACGAAAGTAGATCAAAATGAAAGTTAACAAGATGGATGCCATGACATCTAGAAGATTGAGTTCGGAGATTATTAAGCTTTAGGAAAGTGAATTTATTTATACAAAATGTTGAAACAGTAAGTAAAAAAAGTAAAATGATATATTAGCTAACTTATTTTTCAAAATAAACCTAAAAATATGAAATTAATACTATAATACTTATTTAATATAGTGTAAAAACGGCAGGCATGTTATTGATCAAGTCATGTTCATGTCAGACCTCGGAGATGAATTTAAGCTGTCTATGGTTATAATCATAGTCGGTTATTATAAAGTTTTGGCCTGACAAATAAGCTATGATAATAAACGGCTTGTACTGTATCACATTACTGGGTATAACTAGTGTCTATCCATTCATAGCTAGCAGTGTCTCTATTTCAGATAACCTGTGTACTTACAACAAAAAAAAATGAAGAGAAAAGAAAGGACAAGTCTCTTAAAAGTAGCATGTCCTGAGTATGTCCTAATGTTAATATGAGGTATTTTACATAGATGATACAATCCTTTTGTTGTTTTGCAAGCACTGCACTTTAGTCATGGTGTAATACTGAGATTAGTCTCATTCTAAGCAAGTAGCAAAAAAGTTACACAATAGAGAAGTGCCTGTTGACAGTTCTAAAATAATGAATGCTTCAAACAGAGGATTCTTTAAGACATGGGGAGTACAGTTTTTCCTTTTTGAGGTTTTCCTGTTCCTCTCTATTTGGGGTTTTCCTGTAATGTTTGTGAGGCTGATAGCGAGGAAATCCTTCAGTGTAGGAATGAGAGTCTGTGTTCACCACACCATCATAAACTGGTTTCCGAGAACCAGCCTGGTGGAGGTGTGGGGAACTCTGAATGGTATCCCTAATCTCCAAAATTTCCTGCCTCAACGGTAAACCGACAGAGTCCTGTCTGTCTGTGATCTTTTGACCAGGAACCATGGAGTTGTAACCTAGACTACCCACTGTTGATGATCGTACAACTGCGGTATCCTGGTGCTGATGTCCTTGAAAACTCTGATTCACTCTTGCTATTGTAGCATACTTGTTGTTAACACTAACACCATTTCTCTGGTCATGGGCTTTAGAAAAAAGTTCAATATCTTAGAATACATGTACTACTAACAAGCTTGCACGAAAGACTTAAAACTTTTGATAATGCATGCAATTTTTTTTTTCTTAAATAAACAAAATTTTATTTTAACATTTACCTATGTAACTAAGTAAAAATTTTCTGTGAAATGAGATGATTCCTACCTTGGTTTCTGAGGTCATTGATCACATTTTGCTCCTGCTCTCTAGACCTTGTATGACTTTTACTTCGTTTGACAGGAGGGTTTCTAGGTGTCTCTTTTTCCATATATCCTCCTTTGGTTGGATGTGACAGCTGTCTGTTAAAATCAATTGGTGAGAGGGGGTGATCATCTGGGCTCCTCTGACCGTGATATGGCCTTGACATATTATCCTGTGTTGTCTCCAGTCTTGATGAATATGACAAGGGAAGGGACCTCGGCCCCACTGGCACATCAACATCATCTCTGTGGTCACTTCTGTCTCTTATATGGAGGGCTGATAGTTTCTTATTGGCATCATGAGTATCCAGTTTACTTAGGTGGTTTCCATTGCTCTGATGACCGGAACTGATCGATTGTTTCTTCAGAGATTCTACCTGAGAGAGATGTTTACTGAAAGATTCCACAGTGGTCTGTCCAGTTTTGTGATTCTGTCTAACAATAAACACCTCCTTTTCAGGTAGCTTAACAGTGAGCCCACTTCCACTGGAGTGCTTCTTTTCACCATTTTCATTTTTTGGTGGCATCCCTTGCTTCACGGGAGAGTGATGCTCTCTGCCTGTTTCTGTATATTTGGTATGATCATATGGTTTTCTGTTATTTATGTCACTCTTTCCTATTTGACTGCTCTCCCTTTGCACATCCTGGCCCTTTTTCGAAAGATTTTTCAGCTGACTTGGCTTCACAAGATCAGTACTGTCACCATCTTTATTTCTCCAGGCTATGTCAGGAACTGTTTCTGCTACAATATCTGAGTTTGTCTTGGCATGCTTGACTTCATTTTTAAATATACTTGGATCAGACTCAGATGTTTGGAGAGAATTATCTTTGATTTTAGCAGGAGAGTTTTGAACACGTTTTGGTGGCTCATTTGCTGTCACAAATGGAAAAGGATCTGGACTTTTCATTGATTGTGGAATATCTTGATCCATGATATTTTCTGTGTGCTGAGGCTGTGAGTTATTTGCACTTCTGTTCAGATTTTTGGCTATATTTTTATATGCATTTGGGTATAATTTGTAGATCCAGTGATAGCCAGATTCCAGGTCCTCTCTCACTGAATCCATCACACCTTTCCTTTGATAAAACAACAGGTAAGCAGATGAGGTCTTTACCTCAGCCTCAGCCATGGGCTTAACTTTGGAGTCATCAAACTCATACCACCTGCCATCCACAGGGTTCTTACAAAAGGCTGAAATATTTCATAAACAAAGGATTACAAAATGTTGAAATATTTCATAAACACAGGATTAAAATATGCTGAAATATTTAAAAAATGTAGGACTTTTATGCAAAGTTTTAAAAAAAAAATCAACCATGTATTGTTTTATACATTTTATTAATCAGGTTTCACTTACCTGTGTAATGACCACCTTGCATGTTGCCATAGTGATTCAGTACACCCTGAAGTTCGTATATCATTTCTGTACTGTCAGGGTTCGTGTGCGGTCGCCTCACAACATGTGAAGCCATGTCAAACTCCCTCACCGGGAAATCCACCAAAGTACTCAGCTTACTTCTGCGTAGTCCCACCTACACCAAAACAGTAGAATCTGTTACACACTGAACTCATTTTTATCCAAATGTAGGTCATACCACAGTCTCTGTCAGAGACTATTATACATGTACATTTGTAACTAGAAAACAATTTTTAAAGATGAAATGTATGTGATACAGAATGTCCATTGTATTTGTAGTTTGAAACATTGCTAACTCATTATGTCACTGGGTTCACAGGTGCGTTCACAGGTGCGTGAAAGTCAGTAAATATAACAGGTCTCAATAGCTCAGTTGGCTAGAGCGCTGGCAAGGTACGCCAAACGCCCTGGGTTCAAGTCTCTGTTGAGACTTGATTTTTCACCACCTGTGACAATTATGAAACTGATTACAGTAATGTGTGTAAGAATAAGTCTGAGTTTACCTGTCTGAAGCGCTTGAGATGAATGACCAGTACATCTGGAAGTGACCACAGACCAATGGTTTTAATGGCATTTTTCTGCTGTTTATGGCAGTGTGGACATTCCCAGGCATCATCTCCACTTAACTGTAAGAGAAAAACAAATTAACTTTAAAAATGCATCCCTTAGGTACTTTTTTGTATAAACACTTTTATTTATTTCTAGTAAAAAACCCAAAACAAAAGAAATATGCCTACTGTTTTTGAGATACAAGAACATGACTAAGTGGTTAATATGAACAAACTTTAATCATTTTACCTTTTCGTCTTTGGTGAAGAGTTGGAAGCACTGGTCTAGAGAAACTTTCAATGGCTGCTGCTGTGATGCCCGCACTTTCTTCACACTCGGTTCTTCATGAAGCACATCATTGTCTCTGACTATCACTCTTCATAAACAAAAACAAAAGGATACATATTTAACAACAAAATCACGGCTTTGCATAAAGTTTCTCTCCTTTTGAGATACCTAATGTTACGCATGGAAATCAAATCAACACCAAACAGTGTCACTGTATACTCAGTTATTTATAGCTATTTTTTTACCTTTCTTTGATAGCAGGGTCCCACTCAGCCACCAGCTCTATGTGCTGAGGACCGTATTCAGCTCCATATGTCAAAGCACTGACGATGTAACAGAGTAAGTTATTAAGATCATTTGTCAACAAACAAAACAGTAGAATTATGCAATATAATATAAAAATGTGTAAAAACTTATTTCTTAGCATATAGTTACAAAATATAAAACTGTACCTATCCACTGCTTGTGTATAGAGAGGCATGATTTCTTCATCATCTTGCAAATAGTATCGCTTTCCTGAAAATTCGTCAACAAGGCGCAGTCTGAACAGCACGTCCAACTTCTGTAAAATAAGTTTGAATTGCACTTTTTCATTTTTATTTATATGCACTTCTAAAATTTGTTTCAGAACACTAAATACATTGTACAGTGTCTCTAAATACAAACACATTCAATGTAAAACCCAACTCAAAATATTTTTTTTAAAATTGTTGCTGTAATAATCATTTTTTAAACATTTGCAATACCGGCCTGCACACTATATATTATGATCATCACCTGTGTCAAAAGTCCCTCTTTTATGCACTCTCCCATTACAGTCAGAATTTTCTTCTGTAAACTTCTATGGTCTATATCTCTGGGTACACAGAGAATGACAGGAGCACAAAACCTTGCACTGAAAAATATACAATCAACGATTATAAGCCGATCACTTCTAAACACAAATGAACATAGATTGAATTTACTGTAGCAATTGATTAGCTGCATTAATTATGCATTAGGTAATTTAATGGCATTACTATCTGGTTGGAGAGGATCTTTTCTCTGTGTTTACAACAATCAGCTGAGTGTAGGAAGACTCAAACTCCTCCGGATTGCTACCACCCTGACCTGGAGGTGCTAGTGTTTCTATAGCATACACAGACTCCACCTCTGATATGTCGGTCAGGGGCTGGTCATCACAGTATCGATTCTGGATTCCATCCTCATATATCTGACACAACACAATCTACAAAAATAAAACTCTATTTAGAATTCCTCAACTAAACATAAAAGTAGTTAAAACTTACATTCTTTAATAAATAAAATATTTTTGTACCTATAGGCTATAGCTAATGAAATCAAACCCTTCTTACCCTAGATGGAGAAATCTCCATGTATGCAGCGATTGCCTCCCTTAGTTCCCGAACCGTGTCATTGACATTCAGTGTCAACCCAATCTTAATCTGCATTGGTTCCACCTCCCGAGAGACATAGATCACATAAACTGGCCTCATAGTCCTGGCAGGCAATGGCAAGGAAAGACAGAGATAGGACTCAAATGTGTTGCTCAGCTTCTGACATTTTGGACACTTGAGTGAGGAGCGATAGAGAGCTTGGAAAAGATTGTATGGGACACATCCACTGTTCTGCTGCAGTACCTCCTTAGCTGCAGCCTCATCAGAGTTTTCTGAGGTACTTAACTAGAAGGTATCATATACATTTATTATAAAGACATATACTTTGACAAAAAAAAACATTACATGCAATCTGTAACAAAAATTGTTCTAGATCATATAGATGTTACAAAGTTTGTAATTAGTTTACATTTTGCAGGTTGAATTTAATGCCCAAAACACCTTTTTTTATTCAAACTACTTTCAGCACCTTTTGATTGCAAACGTATTTATGTCATTTAAATTGAGAATTTCTGCCTAAACCTTTGTATTTGATGAAAAGTACTGAGATAAATGATAACCAATTTCAGATGCTAATTCAAAAAATACCCTTTTTGTCTTTTCTTTTTTCTTGTAGCTTATGAAAATGTCTTCATTAAGTCGATCAAGAAGCCACAGAAAGAACTCCTGAGAATCATGCTGCTCCGATCCTTTGTACTGACTGTTGTTTTTCCCTACAACACTTTTAAATCCATTTGAGACTTCCGCTACAACATTTGAACTATTATTCCACAGACTTTCTAGTAATTTTCCTAACTGTTCAGTTACATCACTCTTCTGAATGCTAAACTTTTTTGAAAAGGATTTGCTTTTCATATCATCTTTGAACTGTTTTAAAATGAAGTACTTGGTGAACCAATCTGTGTTGCTCAAACATTGTATCACAGCGTTCATAAAGCAAGTGTTCCCATGATTTGGAATACCAACAGTGCCGGGAACCACGTTCCACAAACTGTTCAGTGATCGAGTCATCTGAGGGGATGAAGATGAGTCCTTCGTCTGTTTATCACTGGATTGTCCACTTTTCCGAGGCAATGAAGGAGTCCATCCCCCTTTTGGACCGCCGGTTTCCACAATTTTTTTCTCAACACTTGATGAAGTTTTGAAACGACTCATAAGATAGATAACCGATTTAAATGATGGTCGTGACCTCTTCTTACGTTTTGGTAAAGAATATGATTTTATTGGACCGTCAGCTATTGCTTCCACAGGATTCACGGTTTTGACAGTTGACGAAAAAAATAAACTTTGACTCACTTCCCGATGATGGTCACTCAGTGTTGCTGATTGTTTTTCGACTTTGGTGCTTTCTTTGTCCAGTAAACTGTTTTCAGATGACGTTTTTTGATACTCAGAATTAACATTTATGTCCATTATCAACAATATTTCACTAGATTAACAGGTATTTGTTGAAAATAACCTTCTGTTTTCCTTTTTCGTTTTTCGATCGCCATTTTTTTATTCAATAAGTCAATCTCAAACCATTTCGATGAAAACAAATTCACCGACGAATGTTTTAAAGTACGAGTTACTCATTGAATACCGCGCTAAATCCAAATCTGAGTACTTTCATTTTCATGATTTTGTTTTTCTTGAAAAATTAAGTGCAAAAAAGATCAATAGTAAGTAAATTACAATGATTATAATGGAGATTAAATCAATCAAGATATTGTTATAATTTTTAGCAAATCTAAAATATTTAAACATTCGACATGTATGATGATATTACTTATTTTTAGATGAAGGGAAAACAAGTTTGTCAGTCAGGCCCCACTAATACATATATCGTGAGTACACCCATTGGTGATATGGAAATAATAAGTTGTCCAAGAGGACTCCATTCACTACAACAAATGGCACCAAATGACAAGAATTTTTCACCTTGTCCTGGGTAATTTTGAATGATGAATATTCTTCAGTTTTTAGCTCACCTGAGCCAAAGGCTCAAGTTAGCTTTTCTGATCACATTTTGTCTGTAGTCCGTCTGTCTGTGAACTTTTCACATTTTCGACTTCTTCTCAAGAACCGCTGGGCCAATTTCAACCAAACTTGCCACAAAGCGACCTTGGGTGAAGGGGATTCAAGTTTGTTCAAATGAAGGGCCATGCCCTCATTCAAGGGGAGATAATTGTGAATTAATAAAAATTTGGTGGCATGTTTTAGAAATCCTCTTCTCAAGAACCACTGTACCAGGAAGGATGACATTTATGGGAAAACATCCTCGGGTAGTTAAGATTCAAGTTTGTTCAAATCATGACCCCTGTGGGTAGGGCGGGGCCACAATGGCCGACCAAAGTTTTACATAGAAATATGTAGGAAAATTCTTTAAAAATCTTCTTCTCAAGAACCACTGTGCCAGGAAAGATGAAACTTATATGGAAGCATCCTCAGGTAGTGTAGATTCAAGTTTGTTCAAATCATGACCCCCGGGGGTAGGGCAGGGTCACAATGGCTGACCAAAGTTTTACATAGAAATATGTAGGAAAATTCTTTAAAAATCTTCTTCTCAAGAACCATTGTGCCAGGAAAGATGAAACTTATATGGAAGCAATAGTGTACAAATTTGTTCACCCCCCGGGGGGTATACAATGGCCGAAAGTTTTACATAGAAATATATAGGAAAATTCTTTGAAAATCTTCTTCTCAAGAACCACTGTCCCAGGAAAGATGAAACTTATATTGAAGCATCCTTAGGTAGTGTAGATTCAAGTTTATTCAAATCATGACCCTCGGGGGAAGGGGGGGGGCCAAAATGGCCGACCAAAGTTTTACATAGAAATAAATAGGAAAATTCTTTAAAAATCTTCTTCTCAAGAATAACAAAACCATTATTGATCATATTCATATGGAAGCATCCACAGGTAGTATAAATTTTGTTTGTTCAAATCATGACCCCCGGGGGTAGGGCGGGGCCAAAATGGCCAACCAAAGTTTTACATTGAAATATATAGTAAAATTCTTTAAAAATCTTCTTCTTTAAGAATAGTAAAGCCATAATTGATCATATTTATATGGAAGCATCCTCAGGTTGTGTAGATTCATGTTTGCTCAAATCATGACCCCTGGGGGTAGGGCGGGACCACAGTAGACGACCAAAGTTTCACATAAAAATATGTAGGAAAATTCTTCAAAAAATCTTCTTCTCCAGAATAAAAAAGCTATAATTGATCATATTTATATGGAAGCATCCTCAGGTAGTGTAAATTCAAGTTTGTTCAAATCATGACCCCCGGGGGTAGGGTGGGGCCAAAATGGCCAACCAAAGTTTTACATAGAAATATATAGGAAAATTCTTTAAAAATCTTCTTCTCAAGATTAGCAAAGCCATGATTGGTCATAAGACTACTTTTGGATTTAAACTTTTCAATAATAAACCAATTTCTACTTTTTCCTAGCCACAGTGCTCAGGTGAGCGATGTGGCCCATGGGCCTCTTCATTGCTTTTATTAGCTCACCTGAGCTTAACGCTTTATTAGCTCACCTGAGCTTAGCCACAGAGGTATTTCTCTCTGAAAAACTATATTGACACTTTGACATTCTATCGTTAAAATAATATTGTCTTACGTACCCGGTTTAATTTGTATTTGTGTATTTGTAATGTAACAAAATAAACAAGGGCAATAACTCGTACTCATGCATTTACTACAAACAATCCAGAGAGTTCCAATTGTGTACAAGTCAGGCAAAATTAGTTGAATTTTTGTCTTCATATGGATAATATTTTTTGGGATAAAAGGCATATACAAATTCAAACAGGTTTGTTTAGATTAATGTGGTAGTTATTTTCAGCTCAACCCCTTTTGTATTCTTCAAAATCATTTTGAAGCGGATCCGCTCCTATTTGCTACATTGCAATTATGTGTGATGTTAGCTGCAGAACTGTAGCTCCCCGAAAAAAAAAAAGAAAGATTGACACGCCGCAGAGCTAAAATGCCAACCCTTTTAAAAACTGTATATTTATTGTACACAAAAAGTTGCATTTAGTTCTGGATAAATTCTTCCAAATTTTTACTTCAATAGCAAAAAAAGGAAAGATTTAAAAAAATCCTTACTCCTCTATGAAGTACTCTTTTAGTTGACATCAGCTAAAAAAAATGGCAGTGTAAATACCTTTATGAAGTACCTTTTGTAATTGACATCATGCGGTATAACGAATTTGGCGATGAATTGAATTTTCCATCTTTTAGGAAATAAGACGTAAGTTATCTTGCAAAATACCAAAATGGTACATGTATATATATAGAAAGTACTTCAAATTTTTTATATGTACAATTTCTCAATTTCAGTTATGGTATATGTGTATGTATGTAAATCCAGGATATTGAAAAAAAGCTGGGTCTTCGTTATATATTGCAACAATTTCTTGATGTTTATGAAATCATTGTTAATGAAACGTTCACAATTTCTGAATATATCTTTTAAGTTGCATTGTTTTTAAAAGAAATCATCAAAATAATATCGTTATCGAACTTTACAACGACCGCTTTCGTAGTATTTCTTTGACTAAATGATTTTATTAAACAGAAAACAAAATTATTCTAACAGTTCAAATTGCATGTACCTTGATTGGCTTTGCATGCTTTACAACAGGGATATTTAGAGATGACCACATACACCTGTTTTAAAAATTGACACTTAAAAATGGACGTTTGTTGTGAAAACAGGGTGGCGGATGGCGGTATGCGAATTTGGCGTTATAAAGGGAATTTTATATAGCACGTTCTTGGGAAATCTTTTTTGGCGATGAATCGAATGGCAATATATAGAGGAAAATTTTGATGATCTCAATTTCAGGGCCAGGAGGGCTTCAACAACAATTATGAGGAATGTATTTTTGTGGAAACAGTGAATGAATATGTTAGGAACACATGGTTAGTAATATTTAGAGATGACAGTTTAAAAACATGGAGAAATAAATCAAGAAACAGCACACTTTTTTGTGAGCAATTAATATATAGTTTTTTCAGTGGGTGGACTGTAGCTCTCCGGTCTGTCAAATATTTTATCTTTAAAAGGGAGATTTAGAATTGGTGAAACTGAGCAGAATGCAATATGCAAACAGACAGGCAGAAAAATAGGGCTATCTTGACTCAGGTGAGCATTGTGGCCCATGAACCTTTAGTCTTTTTAAACCATTTTTTTTTCACCATGCAATGAGAATGGCTCAAGGATAATAGTCTATTACTAAATGACCAGGAATTTTGTTGCTCTCTGATTGGTCTAGACGCCTTTTCCTGAGATGTACCTCAGAATGAGTTCACCTCATATGACGTTCTGGGGGATTTATTCGGGTTTTCCCTCTTGACCAACCATAGATTTGCTTAGAGTTTTTTCGACCAATCAGATTGCGTGTTTCAAAGCATCTGTTGGTGTGAATGTAAACAAGTCAGACGCCAGTACCAAGGAGATTAAATGCTTTTGAAAGTAAATGGTTGAGTATTGATTGTTTAATAATATTGTTTTCCATTTTTAACTACTAGTTGTTAAGCTGTTGAAGTATAACAACATGTGAAAAATGTTGTTACACTTTGCATTTTGTTTTGAGTGTTTATATTTTGATGGAGACAAGAACGAAAGTGTCAAAAATGTTGTAAAATTCCTGATCATTTAATAAAACAGATATTGACTTTTGAAATCGGTCTACTCATGACTATACAGACCTGCTCAGTTATTAGTTAACCTTGGCCTTCGGCCTCCGGTCAACAATACCTGACCAGGTCTGTCTAGTCATGAGTAGACCTCTTCAAAATTCAATAATTGTATAATGTTTGCATTTTCCAGGCTGTCTGTTTGCACATTGCATTTTGCTCAGTTTCAGAGAAACTGCAGGTCATTCAATGATACGATTTCATAATTTTATGACCTTGATCTCTTTTTGTCTCATTTTGTTTTTAAAACACATTGAAAAAAAGTATTCAAGAAATTTTTTTTCATCAAACTTAAGAAACTTTATTCCTTTTTAATAAATAAATTACATGAAAACACTGGGATCATACATGTCAATGTCAGGGTTTGGGGTGTTCATTATTGTATCTGATTTAAACTATAATTGTCAATGGTATATCATATGATTCTATAAGACTGCTGAAATGTACAAATACATCTTAAACTTATCTAGTTAAATGATAATCAAATTGTAAATCACTAGATTAACCAGAGGCAAGCAACAATAAATTGGTAGTTCTGACTGAACACAAGAGCTAAGTTGCCCTCGGATACTCCGTGCACTGTAGGATGCCTTATTCAGGATGGACAATGAGTATAGTAGCCTGACTGGTCAGCCAATGCAGACAAGACAAAATAAACTAGCTAGCCTCTATATTTGGGGTCAACCTCGTTTGTAGCAGGCCTTCACTGGTTTGGCCATCCAAGTTCTCTTTCTCACCGTAAAACATGCAAGAAATGTTAAAAATGAATACTGTTCATTACACTCATCTTCAGCTTTATTATCTTGGAATACCTTTTGTTTTGTTTTTTCTTTAGTACAACTGTGGCAGTGAAGTCCCAGATGTACCAGGACAATGGATACACGTACAAACCTGCAGTTCTCTGTGTGCAGTGGTTACAGCACTACTTTGCAGGAGACACCTCTAACTTGACTACAGTGCCTCCAGCTTGTGCCTCTGTGTATCAGACAGGTGAGATAACATCTCAGACTTAAGTTTATCTCAATAATGCCAGTAATAATTTTATTATGATGATGTGTTACCCAAGCTGCCATCATTATTTTAAAGGGACATTCACAGAGACTGTCTGGAAAACCCTTCAGAGTAAGGTAGCGTTTGGGCAAGTGATTTCCTATGGTGCATTAGCCATGATGTGTGGTAACCCCCGCGCCTGCCGAGCCGTGGGACTTGCAATGAAGAACAACCAAATCTCCCTCATCATGCCATGTCACAGGGTCATTCAGAGTGGAGGTAAACTTGGCAATTACCATGGAGGGCAAAAGAACAAAATTAAGGAGTGGTTACTGCAACACGAGCACGCACCAATATGATACATATCATAAAACATTCTTACGAGTTAGAAAGACTAAATTGTAATTTCACAGAATATGCAGCATGTACTCATGACATTTTATACCATTTGTGAAATTACTTGACAATATTCTGAATATTGTGTTACAGTACTGAACTGTATCTTTGTCAAACTGGAATGATCATATTAAATAATATGGTACAAAATAAGTAGAAATATATGTATCCAGATAAATATTACCATTGGACTCTTATTTTTATTTGTTTATGCTTTCATGAGCTGAAAGCGTGATTTTTTGGGGGGGCCAATGGCTTTTATTCATACTAAAGTTGTGAGTAAAGATCTTTTCAAAATTGATCTACAAAGAAGTTTTATTGAAATGTTGATACTTTCTCCACTTTGAGCAATAGGATCATCCAGTCTTGTCAGTTGTTGTATCAATTAACCTTAGGATATGTTTAACCAAAGAGGTCACAGGGTTTTAGGGTGCAAATCTTGGATACTGTGAAGCAGATGATCATCAAACAATGTCAATTGACGTAATTAGCGGCCTTAAAGTGCACCAACCAATTTATATGGTTCTTTAATGAGTACTACAGGATGTAGGGTGACCAAACCTTGAAAACTTGACTTGATGTACCTTGAAAATAAAGGTGGACCAAAAAGTTGGTCACACTATCCTAGTTTTATGCTTGGATACAAAAGCCTACAATCATCAACCTGTCTGTGGACTTCCAGATATAACAACCCAAAAGTAGCCATAGGGAGAATGAAGAGTAATCTGAATACTGTAGAAGTACTTTTGTCCGCGTGGTATTAAATTACGCTATGAACGCGGTCACGAATTTTCTGCGGAAATTTGTCCAAGCGTACTGAATATAAATGTAAGGCATATAGTGACAGTCTAAGAAATCCGCGTAATTTTCTACACGCGGATTAAACAGAAATTGAGATTCCGCGGAATTATGACCCCGTGGAAAAAAGTACGTCTACAGTACCATTTCTTTAGGACTAATGTCCACAGAATTGTACACTAGTCATTAAACACTACTGTAACAAACATGAAATTTCATTGTTTAATTCAAATTTCAGGACTTTGGCATACAATCATATAATAAATTTGGTAATTGACAGATTTATTATCAGCACATTTTATAAAATTTCACATTTTTATGGCCACAATGACTTCCTCAGACTACAGAGTAAGTTCTGTCATTTGAAATCAAGTGATGAGACAAAATATTTTTATGTAGATAAATAGTGAATTTTGAAATGTGAACCTTACAGAAATGGGTGAAAATTGAAAAAAACAAAACTTGTTTTCATCACAATGACTGAGCACCCATGCCTGTAACAAACTAGAAAAAATTGTATACTGTCAGGAAAAAAATCAACATAAATATCATTCGAAAAACCTTAATCTGTTTTATGATCCATGGCCAGAACTCTTAAAATGTTAAATGGATTGCTAGTTAAGATCTCTTCTGCTTTTTAAATAACTTTAACATGCATAATGTTGAAGTACTATTTATTTTATCCAAATGAGATTTTTAGTTCGGTTGATGGTGATGATGGTACAGCAGAACAATGTAGTGATGGCAAGTATTGCTTTATCATTCCAACACAGTTGTACCTTCTCATCATAGTAAATTGCTATGTGTAATCTTATTATTGAGCAATTGCACCATCATCATTATACCACTGTTTCATCATTGCTTTATTAATATCATCACATCATCGACTCAAACAGTGAAGAACATAGCCCTTTATGATTCCATAAGAAGGATCCACTTACAGACAAGAATTCAATGTATACTAGCATTGAAAATATTTGTTTTTCTCAATAGAAATAAATGACTTCCAAATTTGTTAAATATCCCCTTGCATTAAGCATTCTGAGATCTAGTACTGCATTAACAAACAAGAGGCCCAGGGACCACATTGCTCACCTGAGCACATCGGCTAGGAAAAAACACTTATCAAATCAGACCTGGAAGTTTACCGAGGTTGAATTTTAACCCCCCCCCCCCCAGGGGGTCATCCTTTGAACAAACTAGAATCTACACTACCTGAGGATGATTCCATATAAATATCACTAATCATGGCTTTGAAGTACTTGAAAAGAAGATTTTAAAAGGTTTCCATGCATATTCCTATGTAAAACTTTGGTAAGCTATTTTGGCCCCACCCTAGTCCTGGGGGTCATGATTTGAACAAACTTGAATCTACACTACCTGAGGATAATTTCACATGAGTTTCATCTTTCCTGTCTCAATGGTTCTTGAGAAGAAGATTTTTAAAGATTTTTCCTATATATTCCTATGTAAAACTTTGGTCGGTCATTTTGGCCCCACCCTAGCCATGGGGGTCATGATTTAAAAAACTTGAATCTACACTACTTGAGGATGATACCACAGGAGTTTCAATTTTCCTGGCCCAGTGGTTCTTGAGAAGAAAATTTTTAAAACATATCATCAAATTTTCACTATTTCTGAATTATCTCCCCTTGAATAAGGGCATGGCCCTTCATTTGAAGAAACTTGAATCCCCTTCACCTAAGGATACTTTGTGCCAAGTTTGGTTGAAATTGGCCCAGTGGTTCTTGAGAAGAAGTCCAAAATGTGAAAAGTTAACGACAACAACGGATGACAGACGACGGACAAATTTTGATCAGAAAAGCTCACTTGAGCCTTCGGCTCAGGTGAGCTGAAAACTAGTCCCCTAATGACAAGAGTAATCTAGTTCCCTATTAAGATTAAAAGGCTCCTGGCTAATTTTATCAAACAAGAGATGTTTGTAAAACACTTATGCCCCCTCCCCCACAAATTGGAATTTTTCTAGGTCCAAAAGGGCATAACACTGTCATTTTGTGTGATATATGAACGCCAAAACAGAACTTGACCTATTTAGATATTATCTGACTAATCTGTTCAAATTCCATTTCAATATATGCAACCTCTCCAAAAGAATTACATATTTGAAGGAAAGCCCCAACCCTCAAAAAAGTTATGGAATAAAGTTTTTCTCATAAGTACAAAAATCATAACTCTGTCAATTATGGTGGGTTGTTGGTATCCAAAAACAGGCTTGACACAAGATATACATATGTGAAATATGAATTCCATTTCAAAAGTGTGCAACCTCTCAAGTTTTTAAAAAATGATCGTGAAACTGCAAATAATTGGAATTTTTCTAAGTCCAAGGGGCATAACTCTGTCAATTATGGTGCATTCATATCCAAATTATATTTATGAACTTGAAAGCCTAGATATTTATCTGAAAAGTTGTATCAAGGTTCCATTTCAATATGTGCAACCTCTCCAAAGAAAATGATCAAACTGCAAATTGTTGGTATTTTTCTTGCTACAAAGAATACATATATGAAATATGGTCCTAATACCTACCAAAAAGTTACTTGACCTAGATATTTAATTTTTGTGTAAAAGTGTATACCAAATTTCATTTCAAAATGTCAAATTTGGTTATGAAGAAAATCTTGTCACAAGGAATACACATATAAAATATTAAAGTAGCTCCACTAAATCAAAAGTTATGCAAGCAAAGTTTTATGCCCTACCTTCTTCGAAGGGGGGCATAAAAATTATCAAGTGCATCAAGATAAAAAAATTATTTAGGCAATCAATATCTGCAAGGGTTCTAGGAAAAGAGTATAGAAACCAAGCAAGACAGAGCAACTGAAGGAGCAGGAAAACACTGTTAGGGAACTAATAACTACATTTTGTAGCTCATTGGGGGCATGATTGGGCTGAAACTGTTATGAACTTCTATTCTAAATTTTAAAACATGTGAATCAAAAATTTATGGTAAAAAGTAAATTACATTTACAATGATAGTGCCTTTGCTGATCAGAATAACAAGAACATATAACAATATCCATCAAAAATGTAATTTTCAATAGAAAGACAGAATCTGGGTCAGTCTAAATAGCAAGACCATTTTATATCATTTTTTGTATTTTTTTTGTTTTATCAATATGTCAAGTTATACTTTTCCTTTGACATCACATCATATTTAGTCTGCTGTTCCTGTCTCCAGGATTTTAATAACTATAAAAAAGTTTCTTTATCCTTCATTTTCGATTTACACAATAAAAATTACAATATTTCAAACAGTAAATTTAGTTCTGTGAAAATAATTTAACAATTGATCCTTCAAGAGAAGTGTCAGCGACTGTCCCACTAATCTGCAACTTTGTTGCATCTTAAAATTTAAGAAACAATATAAATAGAAACAGTACTGGTACACGACCAATTATATGAATACAGCATCATTTGTCCAAGGATTCATTTCTTTCCTTTTGTTACAGCTACTGTCTTCACTGTTTTTGGCTGTAAAAAACAAGGCAGGAAAACTTCTTTAGAATATTATAATGCCTACCAAAAAAGATGTGAATGACACGAACTAAGGAAGTTATACATGTATTACTGAATTTTTTCTTCAAGCAGGTTTTTTCCCCAACAAATAGATTCAGTTTCAAACCTCAAGTATTTTGAATGAGCAAGTCAAGTCATCTGTCACTCTCATCACAGCTCCAGCGTTGTCGAATTCTCCACAGTAATTAGGAGCACTGAACAAAGTCAGCAACTACAAAACAAGAAATAATTATATTTGGTCTAGTTTAGAAAGATTACATGATAACATCTATTGAAAATTTTCTCTTCTATCGCTTATAAAACCCTATTCTTGTTTTCTGGAGCAATAACAATACTGTAGAAGTACTTTTTTTTGATTAATACGCGTGGTATTAATATTACGCTATGTACACGGTCACAAATTTTCTATATAGGTAGTTCGCCCAGGAAATTTGTAACACCAGAATCCCTGACCCTGGGGCCATAAAATTCATAATTTTTAAAGAGGCATTCTTGCTCATCAGCGTACTTAATATAAATTTAATGCATATATATAATCAAAAGAGCAGAACTCCTGACCCTGGGGCCATAAAATTCATAATTTTGGTAGAGGCACTCTTGCTCATCATAATACATGTATTCACTTAGTAAGTTTTTTAATACCTAGCGGAAGAAGATTAAACAGAAATTGAGATTCCGCCATAAAATTCACAATTTTGGTAGAGGCACTCTTGACCCCGTTTATTTAGTTTATTTAATACCCAGGAAAAAAAGATTTTCAAAGAATTTACGTCCACAGTAATTTAATTCTAAACAAGTTAGGGCCATTTTTAACTCTACTGGTCAGAGACGAGAAGAGCTTATGTTTACTTAGTTTATTTAATACCCAGAAGCAGACAAGAAGATTTTAAAAAAATTCATGTATTTTCATTATACATAATCAATAGAGCCCCACCCTAACACCAGAACCCCTGACCCTGGGGCCATCACAATTTTGTCACTCGTCTGTAACTATGCACTAAACAATTTTTTCAAAAATTCATGCTATATAATCAATAGAGCCCCGCCCTAACTCCTCCTACAGTTTTAGTTTGCATTTTCATATATACTTATTTAGCCTCCCTTTGAAGAAGGGAGGAAGATTTTTTAAGATTGCATTAATTTTTGTGGTTTGCTGCTGTCACAAATTCTGTCGATGCTTTGTGCCAAATTTGGTTGAAATTGGTTCAGTGGTTGCGGTCCATTTAGTTTCCGTTCATTTTCTAACAATAATTTAATTCTAAACAAGTTAGCAACCATTGCACTTATGTGATAGTAATGTGTCTGGAATGAAATTTGGTATACAGATATATCACATGAATATCTGGAATGAAATTTGGTCAATATATCTGTTCTGTGGGTACGATTGCGCCATTTTGACAGAGTTATGCCCTTTGAACTTAGAAAAATTTCAATTATTTGCAGTTTCCGTTCATTTTCTTCGCAACCGTTTAACATACTGAAATGAAATTTAGCATGAAATTTGGAATACAGATTATAGATTTATCAGATAAATATCTTGGTCAAGTTCTGTTTTGGGTACAATCGCACCGTTTTTGACAGAGTTAAGCCCTTCTGGACTTGGAAAAGTTCCAATTTGGGGGGAGGGTGGCATAAGTGTTTTACAGACATCTCTTGTTTTAATATAACTTGGCACACAAGTAGACTACACTAAGAAACATAAAATAGTGCATCGGTTTTTGATTTCGATGAACGGTGTTGCCATGGTTAAAAAAAATAAGAATTTTCTGTGAATTTTTTTTAAAACGCTATTCCTTCTACAGTTTTGGTCTGATTTCAATATAACTTGGCACACAAGTAGACTTTACTAAGATACATAAAATAGTGCATCGGTTTTTAATTTCGATGAATGGTGTTGCCATGGTTAAAAAAAATAGAATTTTCTGTGAAATTTTTTTAAAACGCTACTCCTTCTACAGTTTTGGTCTGATTTCAATATTACTTAGCACACAAGTAGACTACACTAAGATACATAAAATAGTGCATCGGATTTTGATTTCGATGAACAGTTTTGCCATGGTTACAAAAAATAGAATTTTTTGTGAAATTCCTTTAAAACGCTACTCCTTCTACAGATTTGGTTAGATGGCAATGGCTTCTTTTCTCATCCTTTAATTGTTATAAGTACAAACCAGTAGAGCTACAGTCACGACAGAGACTTCTGGTTTATAAAGCCATATGTAACATAACTATAATATAACAAATGTACCCTTTAATTTGGCGATCCATATTTGGTAAGATAAATCGACGTTACAGAAAAACATATCAACCTTGCACTTCATGTAAATGAGTTTTTCTATTTTGTGATACTAGTTGATTTACATAAAAAAAGTCAGTTACTAAAGTGTTTATTTATCAGATATACATGTTCCAATATATGATGCATGTTACAAAGCATTTCCATAAAAATTTATAACAAGAGGCCCATGGGCCACATCGCTCACCTGAGAAGCTTTGACCATTCTGTTCTTTACCAGATTTCCTCCTTGTAATACATAATGCATCCCCACTATACCCAACAGATCATAATTTGGACATTTTGAAATCCTTCCATGTGCACATAAGTTTCAGCTTTTCTGGCCCAGTGGTTCTTGAGAAGGAGATTTTCAAAGACTTTTCATATATATTTCTATGTAAAACTTTGATTACCCATTATGGCCCCGCCCTTCCCCAGGGGGTCATGATTTGAACAATTTAAAATCTACACTACCCCAGGATGCTTCCACATAAGTTTCAGCTTTTCTGGACCAGTGGTTCTTGAGAAGAAGATTTTCAAAGATTTTTCCTATATATTTCTATGTAAAACTTTGATTACTCGTTGTGGCCCCGCCCTACCCCCATTGGTCATGATTTGAACAATTTAAAATCTACACTACCCCAGAATGCTTCCACACATGTTTCAGCTTTTCTGGCCCAGTGGTTCTTGAGAAGAAGATTTTCAAAGATTTTTCCTATATATTTCTATGTAAAAATTTGATTACCCATTGTGGCCCCGCCCTTCCCCCGGGGGTCATGATTTTTATAATTTAGAATCTACACTACCCTAGAATGCTTCCACGTAAGTTTCAGCTTTTCTGACCCAGTGGTTCTTGAGAAGAAGATTTTTTAATGACCCCACCCTATTTATGTCTTTTCTTGATTATCTCCCCTTGTGAGGGGACTTGGCCCTTTATTTTAACAATTTAAATTCCCCTTCACCCAAGGATGCTTTGTAGCAAGTTTGGTCAAAATTGGCCCAGTGGTTCTTGAGAAGAAGTCGAAAATGTGAAAAGTTTACAGACGGACAGCCTTCGGGTCAGGTGAGCTAAAAATTATATATATATATATCTTACCCTTCGTTTTTGAAAAAATTGATATCCATCTTCAACAACCTAGAAAATGACAAAAAATAATTATAAAATGTGTACAGTTATTCTCTTTGATAAATAAAACTTAGCATTCATGACACAGATGCAATATAAAGAAACCTAGATCATTAAAAATGTTTAGAAAAATACCTGATGTGCCCTCACAATTAGGCTGAAATTGTGCTTTTTCAAAAATTCTTTGACAATATCTCCTCCAAAGGTGAAGGATACACCTCTGTCATTTTCTCCCCATCCTGTGATATCCTGTGGAATGAACAATGTTCAAATTTAGAGAAGTTTGTAGTAAATAAAGTGCCACGCCACAGCATGATACGCCCGTCAAAAAATTACAATTAACTTAAACAGTTTAGAGTGCAAGAAAATCATGTAAACCTTGATTCTAAAATTTCCATGATTTTTTCTATTCCTTAGAATATTAGTTTATCCATCCCCTTTGGTGTAGACATTAATAATAACAAATTACATCATTGATAGATTTCTATACTGGTTGTATTAGACCTTGTCAAATGCCCATAATATTAAACAATATCAAATTAGTCTTAACAACTTAATCTATACCAAATTAATTTTGAAAATAAAAGGCTGGCCATCAAATGACATATGCTATTTAAACTGACCAGCAGTTCTTCTGTCTAATTCCCAAAGGATACAGATAAGAAGATGCTAGCTAGCCTTCCTAAATTGAACTCAGTAATTAATCTTTGACTGGATGCTTGTCTACTCATTACTATAGATGAATGAATCTGCACTATCTACCATAAAATATTTTTTAAAACATAAAAATACTCAATGATTTTTTTTTTTTAAATTTAATGTCAGAAAGGTTTTAATATGCGATTTCTATGGAAAATGAACATGCTGATTCCACCCCTATGAAATTAGTTTTTTAAATTAATAATATTATATAATGTCAGATTAGTTTATTATGCAATATCAAATTAGTGTTAATTACTTTTCATCAAAATCATTTTAAAACTTAGACTAGCCAACAAGAGCTATCTTTAATCCAACAGGCTTACCCATCTGCCCAGTTCCCAAAGGGATATAGATAACACCGATGCTCTCCAGTTAGCTCCTCACACTAAACTCATTAATTTCTCTCTAATTTGACATGCAATTTTCTGTTATCAAAACTCTTGACCAGTGCTTGATAATTACACTCATGGGAGACATGGAATTTCTCTAACATACATTATATTTGTTATAGATTGCTGTCAAGTATATGCTGAAAAAAAATAAGTATTTTCTTGATTTAACACTTTTTTAATAAGGATACAACTAAATTTTTATATTTTTTAGGATTATGAAATTCAAAATTTAAAAGACTTAGTTTTTAAAAAAATTTCACTTAAATTAAAGGTCACAGTGACCTTGAAATAGGTCGCGACACACCTTCTACCCAAGATGTATACATTTTCCAAGTTTGATAGTTCTAGGTCTAATAGTTTACTAGTTATGAGCCGGACAGGATTTTTCCATATTTGGCCATAGCATCTTAATTAAAGGTCAGAGCGACCTACTTTTTGCGCGAGACACACCGTCTACCCAAGAAGTATCAGTTGACAAAGTTTGATAATCCTAGGCCTAATAGTATTGAAGTTATGAGCCAGACAGGAATGGACAGACGGACGGACGGATGGACATGAAGCCTGTAACATAATACGTCCCGTCTTATGACGGGCGTATAACAACACATCACTTTCAAATAAAAAAAGGTTTTCAAGTTTTTACAACATTATTGAAAAGCTAGAACCTTGACTTTTGTCAGATTTAATATAATTAAATTATTCACTAAATAGATTTTTAAAAAATTACATTGTATTTGTATCAAAAATAAATTAAATTCAATCAATGAATAATTGTTGTATTAAAGTTGTATTTCATTGAGGTGCAAATCCAGTCTAAAAATGTTTTATTCCCATTTTAAGATCTTAGATGATGTCAAATTCTCCTGAAAGGGGGAGGGGATTCAAATATAATACTTGTATTATTTCTTACATTTATAACTCTCTTTACTTTATACAATAACCACTGATGGAAAATCTTGACACCCCTTGGTCAATGAAATTATTATTTTTTTTAATGTCTCTGTATTATTTTGTTTTTATATCTAATGCTCATGAACAAGAACCACTCAAAAATAATTACCTCATCTGGATCTGACCACAATAAATCACAAATAAGCCCATGATCTGGGACATCAAGTGGTCTCTCAAGTTCTGTTACCTAATAAAGAATATAAATGTCCTAATTAAAACTAAGACAATCTTAAATAAAAATCTTTTTTTGTTGTTGTTGACAAAACACATTCTAATAGTTTTAGTGCAGACTGCTAGGATGAAGATGAAAAAATAAAAAATTATAAATGCAAACTTTATTTGTAGCTCAGCATTTACCTAGTTAATATATTAACATACAAAGAATATAGGGAGAAAATAAAAGAAAAATAAGAAAAACCTAGTGGGAAATCTGGCTCCCTTTAAATTTAAAGACCGTTATTCAATCAAATACATGTTTTATCAATGAAAGCATAATAATAACAAGAGGCCCAGGGGCCACAGCGCTCACCTGAGCATACCGGCTAGGAAAAAGCACATATCAGATCAGAACTAAAAGTTTGCTGAGGTGGGGGGGGGGGCTTTAATTTTAACCCAAGGTTTAAGGTTTCCATGCATATTCCTATGTAAAACTTTGGTCGGCTATTTTGGCCCCACCCTATCCCCGGGGGTCATGATTTGAAAAAGTTGAATTTACACTACCTGAAGATAATTTCACACGAGTTTTATTTTTCCTGTCTCAATGCATCTTGAGAAGAAGATTTTTCCTATATATTCCTATGTAAAACTTTGATAGGCCATTTTGGCCCCACCCTACCCCTGGGGGTCATGATTTGAACAAACTTGAATCTACACTACCTGAGGATGATTCCTCATGAGTTTCATCTTTCCTGTTTCTATGCATCTTTAGAAAAAGATTTTTAAAGATTTTTCCTATATACTCCTATGTAAAACTTGGATCGGCCATTTTGACCCCACCCTACCCTCGGGGGTCATGATTTGAATCAACTTGAATCTTAACTACCTGAGGATGATTCCACATGAGTTTCATCTTTCCTGGCCCAGTGGTTCTTCAGAAGATTTTTAAAGATTTTTCCTATATATTCCTATATAAAACTTTGGTTGGCCATTTTGGCCCCACCCTACCCCAGGGGTCATGATTTGAACAAACTTGAATCTACACTACTTGAGGATGATACCACATGAGTTTCATCTTTCCTGGCTCAGTGGTTCTAGAGAAGAAGACTTTTAAAGATTTTTTCCTTTATACTCCTATGTAAAACTTTGATCGGCCATTTTGGCCCCACCCTTCCCCCGGGGGTCATGATTTGGACAAACTTGAATCTACACTACCTGAGGATGATTCCACATGAGTTTCATCTTTCCTGGTCCAGTGGTTCTTGAGAAGAAGATTTTTAAAAAATGCCATGAATTTTTCTCTAATTCTCATAATTATCTCCCTAGGAAAAGGGCGTGGCCCCTCATTTGAACAAACTTGAATTCCCTTTACCCAAGGATACTTTGTAGCAAGTTTGGTTGAAATTAGCCCAGTGGTTCTTGAGAAGAAGATGAAAATGTGAAAAGTTTACAACGACGACAGACAAATTTTGATCAGAAAAGCTCACTTGAGCCTTCGGCTCAGGTGAGCTAAAAAGCCAACTAAAACAATTATGTAATTTCAACAGTTTCACCATTCGGGGACTATTGACTAAGACAGTTTAACATAATATAGATTTAATGAAACTCACTATCATTGTTTTAATCTCTCCTAAAAAGATAATAAAACTAAAGGTTCTGTGAGCAGTAAGTGCACAAAATAATAACACCCCAATATAAATATACAAGTAATGGCAAATTCCATGATTTCGCAACAAACCTAAAATCTCTGTTTAAACTGAACATAAACTAGGAGGTAACAGTCTGTTTGACAATTTGATTAAATTTTACTTAGTGGCTACTGGAATAGAAGGAATTGCATATAAGATGGGTAATCCCCTCCTATTTTAAAGAAAACTATTAATGATAGTGTCCATGTTTGCTATGGGAAACCCAAAATATGTCAGGTCACAACATAAAACAGTAAAACAGGAGGTGCACAGTGGCACTTTAGAACAAGGGTGTTGTGACAGTCTTATTAAAAGTTATACTGCCCCCTTCCCCCATTTGTCAATATTTTCCTTTGTACTACACTAAGTGAACAACATAAACAAACAAACTCTTTTTAAAATGTGAAAAACCTAAAGCAAGCTTCATGTGTATGACTTTGACATTTTCTCCTAACTTAACAGGGGGTCTGCATCTTTTCTTTTCTTTTCTTTTCTTTTTTTTTGGGGGGGGGGGGGGGGGGGGGGTAGGGAAGGGATGTCACTAGAGTTGTTTTATTATATATATATATATATATACTGTAATACATTTAGATCTGTGCATGATGTTTCAAACAGTTGATGTGTTAATGGATTCAATTTATACTGTTTTTGAAAATATACAAATATTATTGCATAATGATGTTTTTATACCTGTTTTAAGTCTGTTAAATCTGGTGATAAGCCGCCATGCATGCAAAATATGGTGTCTTCTACTAGTGCAGCTGAAAGCATGAAGATAGTGCAATAGAATTCATGCCATAAAAAAGTAACCTCTTGTAGTTGAAATTTTGAAATGCAGTACATGTACAAAGTTCACGAATTTGTACTTAGCTATTGGCACCGTTTTCATGAAATGTTATTATTCAATTTTGACAGCACTTTTATCATAATTTCTGTTCTGAACAACTGATTTTCTATTGTAAATGATATTATTTCAATAGTACCAAAAATGATGACCAAGAGCACTGAAATAGCACTCAAAACATTTTGGGACATAGTTAGTAAATAGTATGTACAGAGTGTACAAATATCATTTAGATTTAATTAAAGCCTATTGAATGTAAAACATTAGCAATGAATGCCCATTAGTGCATTATACTATCTCATTTTTAATATGTGTGTAAAAACAAATTGATATGGTGCAGTAACTGCAGTTTTATATGTTATTGAAAACATGTTTATACCTTAATTGTGACATTTAAAACAGTCCAATGAAAGAAAACAATTTTAAATATTTAAACACTTTATGCTTGTGCAAAATAGACAAGATGTTTTACACTGAGCAACACTGCATGTTAAATTTATGTGTTTTATATTAAAGATATTGATAAACGTACATACTTGATGAGCAAGAGTTTCTTACCAACTGGTAGACAGTTAAAGCAATCAGTGAATGTCTTCCAGAGTTTTATGTTGTACCGTCGCTTGCATTCATCATAAAAACCATAAATTCTGCAAAATGGACACAAATAGAAGAAATATTCAAAAATGATATTCGACAGGTATTTGTGTCAAAAAGCAAGAGATTTTGAACAATGACAGACTTTAAACATGTTAATTAATGTCTGGCATAAGACCTGTTGGCATACCTATTTATAGAAGCACATTCATGATTTCCTCTCAATAAAAAGAAGTTGTTGGGATATTTGATTTTGTAAGCTAGCATCAGACAAATGGTTTCCAAGGATCTCTTTCCTCTGAAAGAAAACAGTACAAACTCATCAGTTCATAACACTTGAAGGCTTCTGCTGAAAATGTTTTGGACTAGCAAAGTAATATACAAGGGGACTGCATGGTGTAAGATTAAATGAAAAGAAATTCAACTGTTTACCGATCTACATAATCTCCTAGGAAAAGATAATTAGACTCTGGTGGAAATCCACAGTTATCAAAATGTCTCATTAAATCTTCATATTGTCCATGAATGTCTCCACATATTGTCACAGGTGCTGTTAATTCAATTAACATTGGCTGTTCCAAAAACAATTCCCTTGAGACTTGACATAATTGGCGTATCTGCGTTTCTGGCAACTGAACCTTCAAAGAAAAGTATCTTAATTACTTTAATTATATAGGTCTAAGACAAGGACACATAAGAGTAAAAAAAGTGATAATAATAATTCATTACTTGTTTGGTGGGTGAGTCTTTGGCTGTAAGCAGTTGCTCTATTATGGAGTCTACATCAAGGTCTTTGGTCATGATTAAGCACGCATCAGTTTCTCATTAGTTAAGATGTTTTTGTCCTTCAAGAAACTGAATTCATGTTAATTAATGTAACAAAATATAAAATGTTGACCAATTGATACATTAGAATTACTAAGGTCATTTAGATGTCAACTTTCCAACAACATAGATCTATAAATTACCATTTTTTAAAACATACAAGATTGCTGAAATGTGGAGATGTTGATCATTTCAAAGTTACCTAATATAATTGAATCTCTGTACATGTTTGTAACTTTGTATTAGGCCTAATTAATGTACGCAAAAAAGCAGAGTTTTTATATCTCAACATGAAACTTAAAAAGTACCTATGTAGATCAACTAACTCAAAGAATTATTCCTCATTGTGTATTGTTTGTAACTAGGCTTAAATCTGTCTATAATAAATGTCATTCTTTAACATTATTAGGACAAACTTCACATTTATTTATATTATTCCTCTTGTGTCGTTAAATATTGATGTACCTTAATTATTTTGATATATTGGTATAAAAATACACTTGAGTCACTCATTAAGATTTATTATGAATTTACACAACACACGGACTATGACACAGGTCTGTCATTTTATCTCGGAAATTTTTTAATAACTAGACTATCTGGCATGAATTGAAAAATTATACCATAATTCTTGAATAAAAAGCAACATTACCAAATGTCAACACTCATGGATGTCGCATATTGAATTACGAAATTCGATATACACAGTGGGCTACATTCTAAATAAAACATTCACCATCTTTCAAAAATCAATAACAATCTATTCATATCAGCCTTCGGACTAAATACATGTATTCGACTATTTTTCCAAGACACATCTGGAAACGCTTACTTTAAATCAACTGGTCTTCTTTAAGAAAACGTGTTTTAGATTCATTTTGGATATCAAACCTCCTGTATTGATTTTTTGGCATCCATCTACATATTGATGATGCAGACTTTTGTATAGATCATGTGATCATAACCAAGGCAACCGAAAAGCATCGCGTGAAAATTCGCGCCAACTACATGAAATGCGGAAATAACTGAATGTAGATCTAATGTAATCTAATCTAATGTACCTAAGTGACAAAAACAATTTTCGAAAAAAAAATCCGATTTTAATTTTTAGTATGAAATGAATAAAGGTGATAAAGCATACCTGGTATACCTGTGAATTAATTTCCTCAGTGGAACGTATTGAAACCATCGAATGGACTCAGCTTGAATTAAAAGTCCAGTTCTAAAACCAATCTTTATTTTCATAAAAGCCACCGTCGAATGTTACATCTATTTATTAAAATCAAATATTTGACCTTAGAAAGTAAACATAGAAAATGCAATAAAAGAAAGTACACATTGATTTTCATAAAAGAAGCTTTATAAATCCATTTTAAGGTTACAAACAATTGAATGAAAGACAAATGGGCAAAAGAATATTGTTAACCATGAACTATATTATAAAATTATTATTAATTTATGCCCCCGTAATCGAAGGATTTTTTGCCCTGTCCGTCCGTCCGTCTGTTTGCTTGACCGCGAAAACTTCAACCTTCGCCATAACATTTGAGTGGGTGGGACAATGACTTTCATATTTCATAGGTGTATTCCTTGTGACGAGTTTCTTCGGGTTCCATCAAATTTGACCTCGTGACTTTGGAGCATGACCCACTTTATCCAAAAAATTCTGCACTTTAACCTTTGCCATAACTTTTGGATAGTTGATGCTAGAGCTTTTCGACATACGGGGACATCAGTGTTTCACAAACACATCATAGTCTTCTTTCTACAATTGATCTAGCTCGCAACCAACTTGGTCAATTCTTGTTCTCGGATATGCCACTAAAATTTATGATATAAACAAGAATACTTTTAAACTGAGACGTACAAAGTAATTTAGTACATGTACATCAGCGACTTTACAATTAGTGCCGACAGTCATAGAAGCTGTAAAACACAACCATTCTTCCCCTTCTTATGGGATAAACTGCGCCACATACATTCCCATCTCGAAAGAAATATTACATCGTATTTCTTTGAATCAACTTCTTTTTCTTCGAATAAAATCATTGAATAATTAAATCAACGATCGAGAATTAATATCAATATGGCAATAAAAATTAGGAGATTATTTCCTAAAGATGTGCGCTTTTTATTTAACTCGGTTTGAATCAGTTGTCCAGAGAAATATTTTGTCGATTTTAGGGTACATACAGAAATTCAAAGTAAATAATTTTGCAGTAAAATAAGAAAAGCAGACAATGTTGTGTTGACCAAAACAAACAGACTAATGTATCCAGTTTTGAATATCATTTAACGCAAGTTTAAATACATAAGCGATTTATATAAATTATGTCGAAATACAGTACACAATTACCTATAGAGTTATCTCTTTACTTAGTGACTGCATTAATTCAAAATCATTTAAAGTATTAGCTCTGTATGTCCGGCACGTAGAATTGGAAGGGGGTGGCCCCACTCCCCTCCCCCCCCCCCACCTCAAACACGTATTCAAAAATGTTCGTTGAAAGTTGAAAGGCCGGTTGCCCAGTCCCCTTTTCAAAGAAATATAGTCAAACTGAGACTGTAACACACAGATTCCACCAATGAACAGTTCCGCTATATAGCAAAGATATTTTACATTTATCGACTCTTATTTAAAAAAAAAAAAACGTTCGGGTGAGCTTTTCTGATTAAAGTTTTTTTTCCAATGTCTGTCATCAATGTTGTTTCCATTGTCAAAAACTATTTACAATATCATCTTCTTCTCTAGTAACATTGAACCAATTTTAAAACTTGGCAAAAGGATCCTTTGATAAAAATTCTAGTCTATTTACCCCCTCCCCCAGGGGGTAGGATGGACCACTATGGGGGGAAAGTTTTACATGGGTATAAACATGTATTGGGGATAAAAAATGTTAAAAATCATATGTGTTTCTCAAGAACAGGAAAGCTATGATCAGTCATACATGTACTTATATAGAAACATCCACATGTAGTTTAGATTCAAATTTGTTCAAACCATGAGCCCAGGAGTAAGATGGCATCACAGATCGAAATATTAGATAGAAATTCAAAGAAAACTGGAAATATGTCTATAGGACATGAATGCCCCACTGAGTATGAACTATTAATGCAATATGAAATTTTTGATAAGAATAGCTTGAGTGATTTTTTTAATTAAGGAAAAAAAGAAATGGGGAGGTCAAAGGGGCCCTTTTAAAAGCCGAGGTGGGTAGGACCATACGGGGGGTTATGGTATAAAATTAAATTGCCAAAACTTATAATAAGCTTCTTGGGATATCGATCGGAAATAAAAGATTCACACGCACACACACACACACACAAAATGTATGAATTTACAATCTTGACCTTTGACCTCAAATAAAAAGGGGTCTTTCATAGGCCACAGGAAGTTGTAGTTTAAAATGACATTGCAGAAGCCCAAACGCTTTTTGAGATATGATGTGGAAATAGAAGTGTAAAAACAGATATGATTTATGACCTTGAACTTTGACTTTTGATCTCAAAATCAATAGGGATCTTCTTTATGCGTTATTGTGAAAAATATCTTTGTAAAAGCTCAAAAGCCTCTTGAGATATCACTGGGAACAAAAGTGTTACAGACAGACAGAAATCCAGACAGACAGACAGACAGACAGCTAAACAGATGGATGGACTGACAGACCAAAATTAAAATATCCCACTTTCAACGGGGAGCAAAATTCAATTATTTTGTGCATAAGCTTACATAAAAATATCTGAACAGTTTCTTTAAAACTTAGCAAAATGCAAATTTAAGATATGTGAGGTTGAGGTCAAAGAAAAGGTCAAGGTCATAAGTTTGTTGATGCAGATGAACAACACTAATATATATCAGCATGTTTACTTTGATAAACTTTCTTGAAATGTTTATTTAAAACTGAGCTAACCACTAATAGAATCTTTGATTTTTTTTTCTTAAGTATTCCATTTGAACATTTAATTCCTCTTGTGACTACTCTTCAAGAAATGCACATTTCTAGGTGTGCTGGCATAATATCCTGCTCTTCTTGTAAACAATTTTTTGTCTGTATAATTCTGACCCAACCTACACCTGGGGCCATGACCTGAACAAACTTGAATCTACATTTGACAAGACTTACCGAAACCATTGCTCAAATGACCAGCTTTAATTAATTTTAATCAGGGAATACTCTTTGTCAAGTTTTATGGACATTGGCTTGTGGTTCTGGAGAATACAGGAAGTTTATTAAATTTCAACAACTAATTTTTAATTTTCACATCCTCACCTGAGTCTTAGGTGCAGGTGAGCTAAAATTCTTTATTAAAAGCTTCTCTTTAATATCAATTCAAATCTTGCATATTATTTGAGAAGCATAAAGGATAAGCATAAAGGGGCATGAGATGCCTCCAAAACACTGCAATGTTGAATTAAATGGAATTCCAAGGACAACTCCAGAAAAAATTCCCTTGAAAACATGAAGCATCCTCTAGAGCCCCGAAAAGAGTTTACCACAATAGGCCTATTGTCATTACCTTCACAATTTACTTTATATTCATTTTCAATTAAACATAAAACAGGACGGCAGAAAATGTAATCAGTAGTAATCAGTGTCTGTTTTATTTATTTTTTCTACAGTTATACTAATAACATGCTAATATAAAAGTTCACTTTTCTTTGTTGCAACTCTCATAGGAAGCCGCTGGCAAGTCTTGTCTATTGTTTGTTTTTTAACACGGTCTTCAGACTGTCTTTGTTGTTATCTTGGAACCATTAACAGGTTGATAAGATGCCGCATTGTTGGTCTGCCATGAGGACAATTCTGGGGAAAAAAAGGTTATTCAGTGGAAAATTTTTGGTGAATTTTTTTAATTTTGCATTGTTTTAAAAAAGTTGTGTACAAAATAGAAAATTTATCTATAACAGGAGAAATACATACCCAAGGCTGATCTATTTCTCCCATATGACATACAAGCTATAACAAACAGAAAGTCAGTATATTTTAAATATTTAATGATCTATATGAACCAAAAATTATGTCACATTTACGGCTTTGAGAAAAGTAAACATTACCCTCTTCATTTCTGATTTCTTTAAAGCAGTGCCAATCATGATAGATTTTCTACAAGCTCTGGATGCAAACATTTGGCGGACCCTTGATGGTCGACACATAACATTCTGAAAAACAAACAAAACTACAGATCAATTCAATACATTAAACTTGGCACTCTTTACATAATTTGCTTATGGATAACCATTAATCATTTAAATATAGATACTAAGTATATATAAATGAAAAGAAACAAAAGACAAAATCAATAGCAGATAGCACACTATTAGGTTTATTGTTTAATTTTTTATTATTGATTTTTCTTTAAATACCATCTAACACAACATAAAATGTTTTACATTTTTGTTAAATGACGATGCTAACATGCTGCTTTGCCATTTTTCATTCAAATAAGTTGCCATGACATTTGGAGAAGATAAAATATGACGAGACTTACAGTACAGTCAGAAATCATAAAGTATGACTAGACTTACAGGACAGTCAGAAAGCATAAAGATGAGTTCTTCAATGTCTGAAAAGAAAATAATTTTGTACAAAAGCCAATAGACCTTAAAAGTTTACTGAGCATAATGCATTACGATTTGGTAAATATTATATAATAACACCAATGAATTGAAAGATAAAGCATGATAAGGGCTGTACAAAAAAGTCCAGTGATTAGGAACAACTTAGAAACAAATTTTCAAACCACTGAGCTACTTTGGTGAACAAAGGATAAATGCAATGTTGATTCTCAATTTAGCAGTTGTACATGTATAGCATTTTTCTCGAGATATTTTTAGAATTTCTATTATAAAGTTTCATTCTTTTCAAGTAAAAACATTACATGCATATAGTCTGTAGCTCCCCAGATCTAAGTTGTAATACAGAATTGTTTATGTGAGATTAGCTGTAGACTTTACAGTATATTTTTTACTCACCTTCCTTGCCAAATGTCCAGTTCCTACTCACCGGGATTGATGTCAGTTTTACTCTCTGCATCGGAGGAGCTAAAAAGTCAATCAAGAGTTAATCACTGCATCAGAGGATCTAAAAAGTCAATCAAGAGTTAATCACTGCATCAGAGGAGCTAAAAAGTCAAGAGTTAATCACTGCATCAGAGGAGCTAAAAAGTCATCCAAGAGTTAATCACTGCATCAGAGGATCTAAAAAGTCAATCAAGAGTTAATCACTGCAACAGAGGAGCTAAAAAGTCAATCAAGAGTTAATCACTGCATCAGAGGAGCTAAAAAGTCAACCATGCGTTAATCACTGCATCGGAGGAGCTAAAAAGTCATCCAAGAGTTAATCACTGCAAAGGAGGAGCTAAAAGGCCAATCAAGAGTTAATCACTTTAAAGGAGGAGCTAAAAAGCCTATCAAGAGTTAATCACTGCAAAGGAGGAGCTAAAAAGTCAATCAAGAGTTAATCACTGCATCAGAGGAGCTAAAAAGTCATCCAAGAGTTAATCACTGCATCAGAGGATCTAAAAAGTCATCCAAGAGTTAATCACTGCATCAGAGGATCTAAAAAGTCATCCAAGAGTTAATCACTGCATCAGAGGAGCTTAAAAGTCAATCAAGAGTTAATCACTGCATCAGAGGAGCTAAAAAGTCAATCAAGAGTTAATCACTGCATCAGAGGATCTAAAAAGTCAATCAAGAGTTAATCACTGCATCAGAGGAGCTAAAAATCAAGAGTTAATCACTGCATCAGAGGAGCTAAAAAGTCAATCAAGAGTTAATCACTGCATCAGAAGAGCTAAAAATCAAGAGTTAATCACTGCATCAGAGGATCTAAAAAGTCAATCAAGAGTTAAACATTGCATCAGAGGAGCTACAAAATCAAAAGCTAAGGCCTAAAATAAAATATTGTCTGTTTGCAGTTGCCGACCGACCCACTGAAAATGCACCTGACCCAAACTTTTTTTGAGCCATTTTGTAATATTATTTTTTTCTCCAATTTTTCAGGATATTAAAAACTGCTTCATTTTCAATTTTTGTCTTTATCAATCATTAGTTTATACCAAGAGTGCAGCTTTTTAATGTAAAGTAGGCCAATGAAAAACTTTATTTTATGTTATCTATCAAAGATCTGGAAACAATTTTTTTCCAAAAAAATAAAAAATTGCCTACCTACCTACCCTGACTAAAAATTATAGGTCGGCAACTGCAAACAAAGAATTTTTTAAGCTTGGCCTAATCACTGCAAAGGAGGAGCTTAAAAGTCAATCAAGAGCTAATCACTGCATCGGAGGAGCTAAAAGTCAATCAAGAGTTAATCACAACAGAGAAGCAGAAAAATCAACCTAGAGTTAAGTACTGTGCATGATTATTTTGTCTCATAAATACTTTGTCCAGAATAAGATATACATTTCTGTTTTGTGTTATTGTGATGATGGCATAGCTCTTCATCAATAATATTTGGAAGAAACATAATCCCTCTATAAAACAAGGATTTTTTAAAATTCCAATGAAGTATTTTCTTGTTTCATCATCAAATGACTAATATTGTTTACCATTGCTTTAAAAAGTTAAAATTGATAGAATCACATTGAATATTTAAGTAATGGGTTTGAGTGTCTGAGAAATGTTTTTTTTTTCAAGTACACAAAGAATAAAAAATTTCAGAAATGGAACTGTTCATATTAGCTGAATGAATATGAAAGTACTAGTAATTCCAAATACCAACTGATACTGAATTAAAGTTCAACAATGAATATGATGTTGACAAAACTGAAATTTCAAGATTTCTATGTAAATCTGAATCAATTAAAAAACAATTAAATGATTTAACAAAAGATCCATCTTTAAAAAGCTGTTTGGTTTCCCTCTCCTGACAGACTGGTTAAAAATGGTCCAACTCAGAACTTTTTTCAACTTCCTGGAAACACTTATATTTTTATCAATTCCTGAAAAAGAAATTGAAAATTCAGCATTGCAGATATTGAAGCTTTATGGAATTTTTCCCCCACCAACTTTTTAACCAAATTTATTTATCCCAAGTTGGGAGAGGACATCCAAACATTACTTTAAAGTTTGCCTAGATCAAAACAGAATACAGTAATTAAGAGCTGCGTAAATTAGACAAATACCAGATTCATCAATGATGAAGTCAAATCCGTTTTTCTTGAAGACCTCCAGACTGTCAATCAGAATGGTTTCATTGCTGGCCGTCAACTCCAGGTTCTGAGGCCTGCAATGGGAGTGGGATCACTTGTTAGTATTACAGAACCTACATCAGTTATAAACAACTCAGTGTACAGAATGTAGAAATCTGTTCAAACAGTCTACGTCATGTGTATTGTGTAACTGCTAGATATATCATATGTTCAAATCAAAAAAAGCTTCTGATTGTGTATAACAGTGTATTGTTAACTTACTCCTGATTCTGTTAAACTCTGGACAAGTGTACTCTATACTTACTGTATAAGCTTCTGACTCTGTATAACAGTGTGCCTCTGGAACATTTCAAAGTTGTACTTCTCATCTGTTGCATGCTGATCCACGATAAACAAGTCGTTGTTCAGCTTCACGATGATAAATCCTAAGTTGAACTAAAAAGCAAGTTCCATTAAATACATGAAATGTGTTCATTGATTAACATTTATTCTTCTTAAGATCATTTTACCATTAAATTTTAAGGGTTGTTGCATGTCTGAATCAAACTTTTATAATTAATATCATTTAAAACAAGAGGCCCACGGGCCTTATAGGTCACCTGAGTATTGTGTAACAACTTTCAAACAATTATATTTGGTTCGTATTTTAAACCGGAGGCCATGAAATTCACAATTTACAATTTTGAAAGAGGCACCATTGCTTATCATAATTATTAACTTAGCATGCTTACTCTGTTTACTTAATACCCAGAGGTAGATCAGAGTAACAAAGAGAAAATGCACTTCCACTTTATAACCAGTTGTGCACCTCACCCAGTGACCCATGGGCTACATATTTCAAAATTTTGCAAATGTAATTATAAAATGGTTGATTAATAGCAAAGGGCAGATTTCAAAGCATTAATTTATTTTCAGACTATGTAACCACCACCACCCCCCCCCCCACCCACCCCTTGACCCTGGGGGCATAAAAAAACCACTTTGCTAGATGCACCTTTCTTCATCATAAATATATACATACTTGGATCATTGGCATAAAACCCAGAAGCAAAGGAAAATATTTTCAAAGAATTAATGTATTTTTACTATATAATCAATAGAGCCCCGCCCTTACACCAGAACCCCTGACCCTGGGACCATAAAATTCACAAATCTGGAAGAGGCACTCTTGCTTATCATAACTATGTGCTTAGTTAGTTTATTTAATATCCAGAAGCAGAGAAGAAGATTTTCAAAGAATAAATGCATTTTCACCATATAATCAATAGAACCCCTGACCCTGGGACCATAAAATTCACAAATCTGGAAGAGGCACTCTTGCTTATCATAACTATGTGCTTAGTTAGTTTATTTAATACCCAGAAGCAGAGAAGAAGATTTTCAAAGAATAAATGCATTTTCACTATAAAATCAAAAGAGCCCTGCCCTACTACCAGAACCCTGACCCTGGGGCCATAAAATTCACAAATCTGGAAGAGGCACTCTTGCTCATCATAACCATGTGCTTAGTTAGTTTATTTAACACCCAGGAGCAGAGAAGAAGATTTTCAAAGAAATAATGCATTTTCACTATATAATCAATAGAGCCCCGCCCTAACACCAGAACCCCTGACCCTGGGGGCATAAAATTCCCAAATCTGGAAGAGGCATTCTTGCTCATCATAACTATGTTCTTAGTTAGTTTATTTAATACCCAGAAGCAGAGAAGAAGATTTTCAAAAATATAATGCATTTTCACTATATAATCTATAGAGCCCCACCCTAGCATTACAACCCCTGACCCTGGGGCCATAAAATTCATAAATCTGGAAGAGGCACTCTTGCTCATTACTGTGTGCTTAGTTAGTTTATTTAATACCCAGGAGCAGAGAAGAAGATTTTCAAAGAAATAATGCATTTTCACTATATAAGCTACAGAGCCCCGCCCTAGCACTAGAACCCCTGACCCTGGGGCCATGAATTTCACAAATCTGGAAGAGGCACTCTTGCTCATCATAACTATGTGCTTAGTTAGTTTATTTAATACCCAGGAACAGAGAAGAAGATTTTCAAAGAAAAAATGCATTTTCACTATATAATCTAAAGAGCCCCGCCCTAACACCAGAACCCCTGACCCTGAGGCCATAAAATTCACAAATCTGGAAGAGGCACTCCTGCTCATCATAACTATGTGCTTAGTTAGTTTATTTAATACCCAGGAGCAGAGAAGAAGATTTTCAAAGAAGTAATGCATTTTCACTATATAAGCTATAGAGCCCCGCCCTAGCACTAGAACTTCTGACCCTGGGGCCATGAATTTCACAATTTTGGTAGAGGACTCAATGCTCATTACATTCATGCCAACAGTTTGACTGCTTGAAGTCCAGGAGTAAAGTAGAAGATTTTTAAAGATTTCATTAATTTTAGTGGTTTTGGCCCCACCCCTCAGGCCCCAGGGGGGCGGGGATCATGAAATTCACAATTTTTGTACCCCTTCACCCATAGAAGCTGTATACCAAATTTGGTTGAAATTGGTTCGGTGGTTTTAGAGAAGAAGCTGAATATGTTCAAATGTTAACACACGACACACGACGCACGACGACGGACGAAAACGGATAGCAATAGGTCACCTGAGTTACTCAGGTGACCTAAAAAACATAGACTTGAGTATTTTGAGATAGGTAAATATCTGTCATCCTACCTGTCCAAGAATGTCCATTTCTTTGAACATGCTTTTTCTGAAAGAAATATTTTTTTTTTAATCAGACTTAGCTAGGTGATCAATCACAGACACAAAGTACACATTTTCTACCATATTTTGAAAATCTGACTTGTCTATAAAGGAAATGAGACACTGAGATGCTGCTTATACATGTATGTAATACTAGTATCAATTTACAGTACAATAAACGAATAATATCCCATGCTGAAATGTATATATTTTTAAAATTCCTTTGGTATTATGCACAATTATCAGCTATAGATAAGATTTCATAATGCGTTTTCGACATTTGCAAAGACCGAGGATAAATTTGTTTACGAGATTTCCCGCTGTAGTTCCTCCTCTGCCGACTGATTCTCGGTAGGGGAGATAACCGCGCGGAATCTCCTACAGCTCTCTATATCACTGGTCTTCTCTTCTGGAAAATCAAAAATAAATTGGCATAATTAAACAGTTGTGAACACATTGTAATCTTTTTTAAATTGTAGATTGCTGTAGGTCACTAGGTCCATTTTATCCATCAATATCATCAAATAGCATACTTACTTGAAGCTTTCTTTAATTTCTCTTTCAGCTTTAAGAAGCTGAAAGGCACCGTTGTTTCTCTTCTGGAGAGAGATTCTTTTGTATCCTACAATTCATCTTTTCATTATCACTTTATTATTTGCAGGTTTGTATACAATGAGGAACATGTCGTTCAAATTCCAGAAATACATGTAGATCAATTCATGCATTACTTTATCATTTGAAAATAAAAACACTTGAGGAAGAATCTAGTTTATTAATGCTTACCAGACTTGTGACTGTCAGATGGAGGTTGTCTGTGCCGGTAGATGAGATTTCTGGCTGGTTTGAGGACACACTGGACAATTTACACACAAGATTTACTTTTATACAGGTATCATCACTGTCTCTGTCTGAAAACTTGTTAATATCACCAGAAGTACTCTCTGAAGTTAATCCATTGTCCTCAGAATAATTTGAGGAATCACATAGACTTTTGACAAAACCCTCGCTTACATTGGAAGAATAAAGATTTGAACACAGAGAGTTATCATCGGAACACTCTGTGGTATTTTGATTTGTTTCATTTGAACACATATTATTTTTGAAATTGCCCATGTAAGACTTAATGCAATTTTCATCATTTAATGATTTGGAAATGGCAGGACTACTGCCCTTTGAACACAAAAGATTATCTTCACCATATTCCCCTTTTGAGTCATTAACCCTCACTGAACAAGATAGATGACAGTTTGAGACTCCATCGTGAGATGCAGAATTTCTTTCTTCACCGCTCTGGTTGGTGACAGAATTCACATTTTCTGATTCATGAAACACAACCTTCAGATCTGAACAGTCTCCTCCAGGTCCCATAACTCCGCCCTCTGATGTAATCGTCTCTGTACTGACCTCCCTTGTGAGGAAATCTGTGGACTTATCCCCATCCTCTTCCAGTATGATGACAGTCTCCTCTGATTTGTTCCACCATGAATCCAAGTCTCGGACACTATTCTTCATGTCTTTCATAGGAGATGTTTTGAAAACAAAGTGATCAAGCCTTCTTTCTACAATGATGAAATATTTTTTTATGTAAATGAAAAACTTTTTTTAATGTACATAATATCAACACATTTACAGTAAAGTTAATTTTCTATCATAGGGATATACTAAAGACTACTGGGATTTCCAGTTTAAGAATGAAAAGTAATACACTCGGAAGAATAAGAGAGAGAACAAACGTTTAGAGGCAGGACTTCTGTCTTTAGCTGAGGGTGATGCAGTTCTCGGTGCCTCAGTCTTGGCAAAGGCACTAGAAAACTTTCTCTTCAGGTTACTCAGGGCTGACACCTAATAAGAATGACAAAGTGTAATAAATGTATCATGATGTTACACTTAAGTAGCCTTTGTACAAGTGATTTAAAAATTGGTGTTCTCTTATCACATCTAGTGATTTTATGTAAAAATTGTAATTATATAAGATTATTCTAGTGACCAGCAAATCTAGCAATTTTTTCTCCTAAAAGTGTGTACTATAATTTATTGTAGAAATTAATATATAAAAATATTAATAATAATATTCATCAATATCATATCTAAGATTGATGTTATAACCAAAATTAGATGGCTGCTAAAAATTCCATCTATATTGTGAAATCTATTAGTTGAAGTATACTAAAGTAAACAATAGAAACATGTCAAAGAGAAAGACACACACACAGAAAATTAGACATTATAATATACTACCCACATATTTTAATGCAGGGCTCTGATTTTTGCACATCTTTAACTATATACATGTATGTTGAAATGCAGCTGAACCTTAATATCTTGAACATTAATATATTGAATACCATGTACAGGGTGTTTCATAATATATGTCTAGGATTGTAGACCCTGTTCCTTAACCCCTACAGAAAAGAGCCCAAAGATTGAGATTGTCGAATGCAAAGGTCAAACCTTTTCCTTGCATTATTGGAAAATTGTACGCTGATAACTTCAAATCATCTTTCAAAGTTCAATGAATGTATGCTGAAAATGCTGACATTGCCAGGATCAATTTCTGAAAATATCTATCAGACACTTTTCTAGACGTTTGCTACACTAAGAGTCTCCATTTCACAAAATAAATTGCCGCTTCTTTTAAAGTTTTTAGGCTTTCTGGAATACCGTCACGATGTCTTTTATTACATATTGCCTGTCCCCGTCTTTTAACTTTGTTATTAGCCTTCTGATAAGCATCCTAGAAAGCTTCTTCTGTTTTTAAAAAAATATTTCATCAACTTCTGAATGAATATTGGCAACATGATTTGATAACAAAAAATGGCTTTACAATTCAGCACTGAATGGATAAATTAAGTCCATTTAAAAAAATATTCAAATTATGACATCTGCATTTATAGCACAATTAATCATTGTAAGACCATGATTTCCTTGACTTTTTCACATGGAACTAAAGTGCAGAATTTGATGTTTAAAATGATATTTGGTTTGTACTAGAAGTATGATAGGTAAGAAATATAATTTGATTTAAAAATGTAACATATAGTATTTCATACTGTACTTACCATACATATCGATATTTTCCTTGATAGATACGGTTTAAATATATGCACTCAAATATCAGTACGAAACGATTTTTTGAACGACCTATCTAAAAATTGAAAATTTTCTGAAATGGCGGCTTGTAAAAAGCAAAGAGATGATCAATTTATATTTAAAATGTTGATACATACTGATGGAAGTCGTTGATAAACAATAAACATTTTTTTAAGCAGCCTCCCTTTGATTGACCTCACTTTTCTTATATTTATTTAGTGTTTATACACATTAAATTTCGTTTCCAAACAATTGATATTATTAATTGTTATCACACACTTCTTTTGTAATCTCAACTGATGCTACAGACTTTTTGAGCAATTGATTATAATGTAAATGTGATGTTTTTTAAATGAAATTTTAGTCAGTGTTCTTTGATGAACTACACAACTGTTTGTAAACAACTTGTTAGTAGAAATTTGGTAACAATAATATGTACATGTATTATTTTTTTTTGTAAAGTTTAAGTCAATGAAATTGATGAACTTCAAGTATTAATTTCAAAGCACACATGACTTTATATAGTCTAAGAATAAATTGTTGATATAATGTCAAGACAAAAAAAAATGAAATAAAATACTAATTCTTTTGAATAGTTTTATAATTTATCATACATGTAACAGTTGATTTAATGTCAAGACAGAAAATGAAATAAAACACCTTTTTTAAATAGTTTTATAATTTATAAAATATTTCATATTGTATTAATATATACTGGGCAAGGCATTCATGTCCTATGAAATACCCTGTACAAGTCTCTGTGTTGTAGATTCATTTGGTATCACTCACTTATCATGTATTCCAATATCAGGTTTGATTGTAGTATTACATGTAATATTCAACAGTTACCTGATTTTTTGTTCCACTGGACTGACTGAAACAAATAAATACAAGATGAGCAAGACTTAGAGAAACTTAGAGAACCATTAATGCTTTAATTTTTCTTTATTAATGAAATAATTTTTTTGTAAACCTTTTAAGTTTTTTTTTTTGATTTGATTCTGTTTGTCTATCTGTTTCTCTCTCTGTCTGAAAATATAAGTACAAAAACATCTAGAATAACAATTTAGGGGGTGGGCTATGGTTTTCCAGCAATCAATCAAAAAAATGACTTTTTTCATGATCCAATCCAGCAACTCACTTACTATTCAATCATCCATTATGTCTTTCTTTGGGGCTAATTTTACATAACAAATTCACCACACTGTTTTTTTAGGCAAAACCTTTAGAAATTCACCAGTAGAGCTTTCCCCTTCACATTTTATTCATTCCCCTGACTACACCTCTCTGGGGTTGATTTTTTTTTCTCACCTTTTGAGTTTCTCTGGGTTTTACCTTTTTTAAAACTTTACCCTTGGTCATAACTTTTGAACAGTTAGAAATAGGACTTTCATATTTCACAGGTGTATTCCTTGTAATGAGACCTTCCTTTGGGTACCATCACTTCTGTCAATTTGACCTTGACCTTTCATTTGCACTTTGACAAGCATTTGAGAGAATTTAGCCCTTGCCATAGGCTGCCATATAGCTGCATCAGTGTTTAACAAACATTATTTTTTTCTGGAACAGTTTATCAGTGATCATAGTCAGAGGATAGGTGGACACAGTAGGCTCATACATCCTCAGAAGAGATGTCTAAAAGGTTAAAATATAATACAGGTATAAATTAACATATAAACAATTTAAATTTTTTATGGGGAAAAAAACCCATTATCTTGCAGTGGTCTGAATTTATAGAGCCTTATTACATAGTTATTAGAAGTGGATAACCTTTACAATAGCCAGTAGAATCTTTTCATTTTCCATAAAATTTCCACTTATAAGGTAACTTTAGATCAACTGTTCTACAATAGTATATTCAAACATTTGTCAAAGACATACAACCAGGAAATGAAATTAGGATTACAGCATTTATATCTTTAGTATTATAGAGATGCATCATTAAAACTGTATCCATATAATGAAATTGATTAAATCTTTCTATTCATTTATAAAGCCAATTCTCTGATAAACGCTTATGGAAACTCTGTCAACTTTGTAAGCTCTATTGTAGATACAATAAATCAAGGATCCATATTATAATTAAATTCAATGTTGTTGTTTACATGAAATCAATGTAAAACTGATGGCCTATAATTTTTATGAGGTTTTCATATATACATAAAATACTCTCTTGAAAAATGGAAGATTACATAGTTAATTCATTTAATTGTAATACATGTATCAATGTCTGAGATACCAAAGTTAAATTGCACTGCTATCAATTTTTGCATTGCTTGTTTATCCAAATGGTGATATGAATGGCTACAAATAAATCTAAATGTGTAGTATTAAAATGATACACTTCATTTATCACTTTTGTAATCTGAAAAATAATTTAAATCTTATCATACATCAAGACAATTGTCAATATTTTATCACTTTTGTAATCTGGAAGATAATTGAAATCTAATAATACATAGAGGATATTCAATGTTTTGTAGTTGAATATGGAATTTATTTCACGACAGAATTTTTTTATATTTTCACGAGTGTGAAGCATGAGTGCAAATGTCCAAAAATTCCAGTTTCATGAGTGAAATAAATTCCATATTCAACAACAAAACATTGAATTTTCTGTTTATTAAATTTTAAAAAAAAAAAATCTTTGATTATTCCTTTGCCCCTGTCTTTTGTAATACAGCCATTGGCTACATGACGTCATAGTTGAGCGGTTGAAACGTCATAGATAAGTGAGGTGAAAACACTGTAAACATGGATTTAGCAACATTTTTTTGGTAATTTCGACAGTTTTATTCGCTGTCAGAATGGTTAATTTATTTCCATCTATCTTATATTAGGTCAAGGAAGATTTGTTTTACAACAATCTTCGTTATGGAAAGGGAAATTGAGAGTTTTCCCGCACTTCTGATATTCGTCACACTGTGACAGGATATCATTTTGATATCCTTTCACACTGTCACAGGATATCATTTTTATTCAATGAATAAATTACAGTATTTCAAAGGTAAAAATGTAATAAATCAATACAATTGTCAATATTTTAAAGGCGTTTTCTTTGAAAGCACAGTGAAACTGCATGGTTATAGTGAACTTATAGATAAAGCAAATTTTTTATGATTCACAGTAAAATTCAACAGAATTCTGGCTAAAAGAAAATATGATATAAAGAAATGGGATGTTCCAAATTGATTTTCTGCCCCATAGAGGTTATAAAAACGAAATAACAGCTCCTATAACAGAACAATTTAAACATTCAACTGAACTTATTTTTATTCAAGTATTATATCTAATATTCATTTCATCAAAAAGAAAAAAAAATAACATGCTAGTTCTCAAATGTATATTGTATAAATATACTTTCCTCAACATATTTATAATTTTACAAATTCATTATACAAGTAAACAAATGAAGGAAAGAGTAAGTAAATTCACACATCCATGTTTTTTTCTATATTTAAATTTTACTGTAAAATTTAATAAAAAATAGGACAGACCTTAGCTGAATCAAATGGTCGTTTGTTGATGAAGAGGAATTGTCTGTCTGTAGCACTCCTCCCCACACCATGGGCACACTTAGAAACATAGCCTTCTATTCTACAAACAGAGAAAATCAACACCATGGGCAATTAGAAATATATCCTTCTATTCTATAAATAGAAAATATCTGACAGTGTGCACTAAGAAACATAACCATCAATACTACAAACAAAAAATATCCACTTAATTTCAAACATAGCCATCAATACTATGAAGGAGAAAATCCACACCACATGGCATTCATGCACATTTATAAACACAGCCAAATTAACAATCCTAAAATTGATATACATGTATCATATCATATATAATAGCTCAATCTAATTAAATTCAGACTTCTTAGAATTTTACTGTGTTCAGAGTAGATCTAAGAAGTTTGATTTTAACTAAAATGTTTAACTGACCTGAAGCAGTTAACAATGTCCTTGTTGACCTTGAGACTGTACTCATCCAAGATGTCATCACTTGGGTCAAAGGTCACAAACTCTGTAAGACTCTGCATCTGTAGAAGAATGATTACAGCAATAAAGAAAATGCAGCTTTTAATTTAAAACCCAAGAAAAGTTAACTTATAGTTTGCATACTGTAAAAAATCACTAACTTTGTGGAATCAAACTTTTGTGGTTTTTGTAAAAATATTGGTTCAAGGGGAGTTTAATTGTGGTTGACACACAATCAATACTGTAGTAAAACAGTCTATGTGAAAGTCACCAGACCGTCTGTTTTTATCGGTAAAATTAAGTTCGGGTTGGTAAAAAATTTCAGTATCAGTCTTCGAAATAACCTGGGTGCCCCATGCCAGCGGACATGTGAAGATTCTCAAATTACATGCCCAAAGGGCATGTATGAATTTTCTTTCCATTCACAATGTTTACTTGTCATTTCTTCTGTTGTACCCCAGTTATTAGCGTAAACTTGCTATGTAATGTCTTAAGATGAATTGTCAGTCTACATTCGTCTTGCGTTACATTCTCGATACGACCTGTCAAATGATTATCAGTCGTAATCATTAAAGTGTTTGATTTTAACCAATTTGTTTTCTCAAATTTTCTTGCTAAATTATGATATGTTTATTAATACCACATGCAGTGGACTGCTGTCATGATCCTATTTCTGAAATTCAGTTCAGCTAATCAGCCAACAATAGACCCGCATGCGAGTCAAAAGTTGTCAACAAAAAGTTAAAAATGCATACGAAAATGGCAGACAGACAGGCCATGGTTGATTTAAAACTCTGAAAACAATTTAAACTTAAGATCAAGAGAATTTAAAAACAGAAACACTGTCCTTATAGTTAATATAAAAACCTTATTTTTATTGTTGCACAAACATATCTGCTTTATGAATGAATATTGAGTAGGTATGTACAAATTTCAATGGGCTGGGTTAAAATGATCAGTATACATGCCCGAAGGGCATGTGCTGAAAAAGAATTGTAGTGAAGACAGCATGTAAATTAAGATGTACACATGGTTCAATTTCCCACAAATATCCTTTATTTGACTAATTTAGCTGCAATACCTGATTAATTTTTATATATTACAACCCTGTCATGATCGTTTTTTTCTACCCGCCCTTTCAATCTCAATATCATAATCATATGCATGTATGAATTTAAAGGAAAAGAGTCGGTCTGGTAAGAAATTGCTTGGTGTGGTAAAAATTTTATTTTTATCAGACATTTTGTCCTGTAAAAAGTTTAAACTTTCGCGTATACTGGTAAAAATATGAACTATCCAATGATAAGTCCACCACTGTCTCTCAAAACAAGTGTGAACAGATGATTAATATCTGTACCTGCTTTGGTCCAAAAACATCTGCTATATTTTCCCTCAATGTTTGGTTTCCATTGCTTGACAACACTGTTGACCACCCTCTATTTGTTAAAAAAAAATTATTAATTACCATTTAAATATTTATTCTGAATCTGATTAATAATACCTGTAGATATTTGATCTGCTCCTAGCTTTTGCTATGTTGCTTACAGTGTTTCTGATATATGTGGTGCAAATTAATTTCCTCAAAACTGAGAACATGTACTTTAAAAACTTGGAGAATTATTCTTATTTTGACTATTTTTTTTTTTTTTTTTTTTGCATTTTAACATTAATGTTTTTTTTTGTCTTAAAATCTTCAACTGGGTTTTGTGAAAATAAAGTAATGAGGAGTATGGCATGTCATGGAGTGTTTGACAAATTGAGACACACCTACCCTTTCTTGGATTGGTTAGAGCAGGTAATTCTAACTCCTGTACTGATAATGCAGTAAGAGTTCAGCACCTGGATCAATTTATTGAATTCTTTTTTGACGTTCCTCTGGAATTCCTTGTGTCGAACAGGAAGAGTAGAGAACAGGTTCTGTAGAAGTACTGTTGTTCCTCTCTATTCAGTATAAATGTACAAGTTACATAACACTCTTATGTCAAAACCCAACAAATTGACTGTTAAAATATCTCTATATACCTATTATATTATTTTCATACTACATAAAACATGCTTTTAGTGAACAGGCTTACATTGAATTGAAAATTACAGCAAATTGATTTATATTCCAAACGAATTTCAAATATATTGTAAACTTAACAGATACAATGTATAATGAATTACACTTAAAACGAAGTAAAATCACCCGTCCCTGGCAGTTCTTTATAGGCGTGTTTTACTGTACATTCTCTTTAAGCATAAAAAACCACTATTTAATGTTATACTTTGTATTCCAATAAACCTCAATAGTTTTAAGTTTGAATGCTTATAATTTCCATGAACTCTGTTCTGTTTGAATGTCCTGGTTTTGTTCTGACATTTGTAGTTTGCAGCACAACCCCATAGTGGATTTCTCTGTTCATTTGCAAAGTAATTCTTGGGGGGGGGGTATTCATTTCATTGTAATTAAGCATCCGTTAGATGAGAAATATGGTGATCAACATTTGAAACTTAAGCATGCTTGACCAAACAAAAGGACACACTGTTACTGGAATGATTGTCAAACACCTTGTACACTTGGCATTACATCTCTCCATACTTTGTAAAATTTTTCTTCCTGATTTCATAAATGAATGAATTACTTGTCTTAATTCTATATATTTATACCTGTCTTGGTTGTGGAGACTTGGTATTTATTTTTCCATTGTGATTAAATTCCAGTTTTGTTCCAACACTTGTATCACCATGCCTTGTTGTAATTGTTAGAGAGCTGTGATAAAATAAATAATGAAGTGTATTACTACATATGCACAAAAAGATAAGCATTATATAATTCATTACAACCTACTGTATTGCTAACAGTACATGTATTGTCTGAAAGATGTATAGTTGTATATTGTTGCTCACATTTGAAAACACTAAACAAAAAGACAGAGTACCTGAGAGCACAAAGGGAGCTGAGAGCTTCCCCTCTGAAACCAAATGTGGCAACACTGGTCAGATCTGTGAAATCCTGAAGCTTAGATGTATGGTGCTTGAGAGCTAACAAAGGAACATTAGTGATGTCAGTGTAAAGTGTGCAGACAAGATTTATAGATAATAACAATGATAAATCAAAGGTCCATACTTAGTCCCTCAAAATTACTCTCCTCCACTCCGCTTCCATTGTCACTCACTTCAATCGACTCCAATCCGTAATCCTTCAGTTTTATTTCTGAAAAAAAGGTTATAACATAAAGCATCAAGATATAAAACTTAATCATTTAACTTAATCAAGCAGAAGCACATCAGTTGTGTCACTGAGGTAAAAAGGCATTTTTATCATAAAAAAAACTTAATCATTTAACTTAATCAAGCAGAAGCACATCAGTTGTGTCACTGAGGTAAAAAGGCATTTTTATCATAAAAAAAAAAATCAGTCATGGAAGTTGATGAATTAAAGTGGAAGAAATTTCAACAGCAACACCATTTATTCAACTAAAGAAAATACATTACACAGAGCTAATTCAGTGTAACTTTTTAGCATTTTTTTTTTATTTACCAACACTGGTTGCCCCTGCATCAATGCTGTTTTCCACCAGCTCTTTGACTGCTGTGGCAAGAGTTAGAACAACCTGCCCTGAACAGATTCTGTGGATTGACTTTTTGTCGATTGCTTTGATTTCTTTGGCAAGTGACGCTTGTTCCTCCTCCCTGTAATGAAAAAAATAATTTACACAAAAAAAAGCTTTATTCAACATTTCTTTTAAGAAAATGTTAATTCATCATTTGAAACATAAATCCTGAAGCTTACAATAGATGAATTTCACATTCCTAAGAGTTATCTTCTGTTGTCGGCGTAACACTCATTTTTCCCACTTTGTCCTGTGTAAGTTACCTGTTAATATTTTTAATCTTCAAAAGTTATCGGACAATTTGGATCTGTACCCATATTGCCAGAGTATGGGGCAACATGAAAAACATAATGAACATATTCATACAGATTTTATTTCTAAAATACCACCCATAAAGTTGGTAAGGTTATAGAGAGAAAACAGTGTCTTACGCCAGTTGACCCCAGATTGACCCTGCAGAGGGGAATAACTTTTGTAAATGTGAAAGTCGTCTATGTATCCCTGTAGACTCAGCATAAAAAAATATAATTAAACAACCCTTCTTTAAATGATGACATAAAACACACTCAGAGTAAACAGCTTAGATTGTTTACTTTAGGCCAACTTAAGGGAGAATAACTTGTACTAAGTACTCTATCCTAACAGACTCAGATGAGCAGGTAGATAGGACCAACGTTAGGAAGAATAATATTTAAATTTACTTTGATCCACTTAACAGACTTGAATGAAAAGGTAGATAGTATGGACAAATCTGACACCTCATTCATCAGACATAGAACATTTGAAATCCCTTGAAAGTATGAAAATTCAGACTAGTTCCCGTGAAAAATTAACCTAGCCGTAATTTGAAAAAAATATTCTGAAGTAAGTTTTCTTTATCGAATTTTGAAATTTATACAATATTTCTCTTATAAGTTCCATCAAATCAGAAAAACATAACTTATATGATTTAACTTCAACAATCAGTGTATATTGCATTGATCTGTTGATCATTTTTTGGCGCATTATTTGAACACTTACATTTGCATTCTGGAAAAAAAACAATGAACAATAATTTATATGGGGACATTTATGCTAAAAACTACAAAATTATCGATATTCTCAACATACTTACATAATCCATCTATCTGAAAGTTCAACAAACTGGTCAAATTATCGAAAGTATTTTTAAGTTGATTTTTTTCCTTAGTTTATGTGGAAAGTGAAACTAGAGATTTTCTATTAGTTCGTACTTCTTATTATTCGGGTTTTCACATTTTCCATACCGCAATACATAAGAACACTTTTGTTTAAATCAGAAAATCATTTGCTGAACTAATATAGAATGCAATTTTTTTTATTTTAGAAAATCTATGATTATGTGTGACAACAAAAAGACCACTTTTGATTTAACACTCTGAGGATATATCTTTATTTCAGTGCCACTAACTCTAAATTAGTCCATGCGATTTGTCTGCATAAACAGGCAGGTAGCAGCAGGGGGAGGGCTGCTACTTTTTCAGGTAAGTCAAAAAAAAATTCTCTGGCTGCCTCCCCCCCACTTTATAAAACGATGCTACGTGGCTGATAAAAACATTCATGGAAAGTTGGACTGCAACAAAATTCAGGCGCGGATCCAAGAATTGAAGTTAGAGGGGGCGCCAAAAGTAGGCAAGGGGTATGGGGACCGCCTTTAGGCCCCCAGTGGGTCCAGGGCAAAGCCCTGGTGGGGGCCCAGGGGGTGAAGCCCCCGGAAGCTCCTGGGTTCTAGAGATTTTGTAGGGTAAAAATGAGGTCTACCATGCAAGTACACATATTTACATTTTCTAGACGAAACTGTGATTTACGTTAACTTTGACAATTTTAGGGGGGCGCGCGCCGGGTGCGCCCCCCCCCTTAAATCCGCCACTGAAATTTAATATCTGCAGAACTCTAGCATTTTGGTTTATAGTTATGGTCAAACAACAATATGTAAAAAAAAATGTCATACATGCAACTTTGTAGTTCTGTAGCTACATCGAAATCTGACAATTATATAAATATGATTCCCGAATCCTCAAAGGTTAAATGCAGTTTACATTGTGGAAACTTTCTAATGCCAACACGGGACCTCGGTTTAAGCACACTCATCCGAATGACCAGTTTGCACGTTTCGCAATAGATTCGAACCCGTGACTCAGTCTAGAGCAGCGGACACCACTGTGCCACACCGAGAACGAATAATACACATGTAAACTCGGAAGCGTAAAAATTTACACCAACTATTTAAACAGCTGTGTCGTGTAAGGTTAAAGTACAGACAGGAGTGAGACAAGGTTGTGTTATGTCTGGGTTCCTGATCATCATTGTGGTAGACTGGATAATGAGAAATACCAACAATAAGAAGAGAGGCATACGTTGGAAATTTATGTCCACTTTTGAAGACCTGGATTATTCAGACGACCTTGCACTTATTTCCAGCAAACACAGCTACATGCAGGAAAAGACCAGGAGATTACAAGTTGTCGCGGGATATACAGGCCTAAAAATTACTGTTGAAAAAACAAAAAGCATGAGAATAAATGGGAAGAAGAAGAATGCCATCAGGTTGAATGATAAAGAAATAGAAGAGGTCGAAACAATTCTCTACCTGGGTGCCACAATAGACAAGACTGGAAGAACTGAGGCAGATATTGGGAGAAGGCTAGGCTTAGCCAGGACCGCCTTTGCATCCCTTGCCAAGGTATGGAAGTCAGCACAATACAGCACGAAGACCAAACTTACAAACGTTCATATCTGTGTTGCTGTATTGTGCTGAACTAAGGAGAACGAAAGAAAAAGATGTCGAAAAGCTTGATACGTTTCACCGAAAATGCCTTAGGAGGATCCTTAAAATACACTGGCCTGAAAAGATAACTAACCAACAACTATATGAAAGAATAAGATCCATACCTCTATCAAGCACCACCAAAAGAAAAAGATGGAGATGGATAGGCCACATCCTCCGAAGGGAAGAGAACTCACACGTTAGAAAAGCTCTCACATGGGCCCCTGAGGGAAAAAGACGAAGAGGACGGCCAAAGAACACCTGGCGAGAGAGAAAAAGAAGAACTGGGATGGAACAGTTGGAAGGAGGGGCAGTTGTTGCCAGTGACCGCCGTAATTGGCGTTCGTTGTTGAACAGCCTCGTGCGTCCTCCGGGGCACGTAGAGGATAAGTAAGTATAAGTAAGTAAGTCGGGTAAGGTTCCATTTTATCAAAATTGGGCCAAACTCCACGGTCAACACGGTCAAGGTCAAAGTTTCTAAATTCATAACCTTCATTCCAAGGAAAGATCTTGTCATATTGAATATATATGTATGTATGTTAAAGAGGAAAGCATAATTACACTCCGTTTAAAATTATGCAAGGGTATTTTTCTTAAAAAGAGGATCAAACACCAAGGTCAAGGTATAAGGGGTCTCGCTGGCCGGATCAAAATATAGGACACTATGCAAAAAAGGTTAATTCTGATTGTTTAATCCGCTGGATCAAGACCGAAATAAGCTGGGAAGAAGTCCCTTTGTACGAATCTTTCGCCTCTAGATCCAACCCGCCAAACCACTCAATCCAGAGTGGAACCACCTGCATGGATGACCACTATTGCTGAATCATCGGGAAAAATCCAGTTTCTTGAGTGTACACCATGAGCCACCTATGCCAACCTACGAAACATCTGGAAATCTTCAATTATCAGAACCAAAACCAAAACCAAAATAAGGATATTCAAAACAAATGTCATTAGGGTCCTCCTTTATGGATCTGAGTCATGGTGACGTACAAAATCATCCAAAATCTAGATATCTTTAAAACAAGATGTCTCCGTAGAATACTCAAGATATCTTGGCCGAATTCATACAGGATGAAAAAACGCACAGAGCTGCCATATCTGACCAGATGAAAGAGATACGGTGGATCGGCCATGTTATGAGAATGAAATCATCAGATATACCAAGGGTATAATATAGCCTTCAGAGGGACTCCAACAGGCGAAGTAAACAAATGGCGATCAAAGGAGACATGAATGGCGACGATCAAAAGAAATGAAAGATCAGGGATGGACTTGGGGCATGGTACAGTCAATGTCAGCAGAAAGACAGAGATGGAAGTCCTCAGTGCAGAAACTATGTGCTCAAAGAACGAAAAGGACTTAAAGTATTAAGTACATCATGAGCTATACGAGATATGACTTCATGTTTAAGCTGATCAAAAAATAAGAAAACCGCTAGGGACGAAACCTTCCGATGATTCAAAAGATCTCCCTTTGGTCGAAAGCTAAGACAACCCAACTGCATGGGTAAACCACTGTTTCTTAATCCCCCTTTAACCATCGTCTCAAGCCACGGTTCGGAATCAGCATGTAGCTCTCTCCAGAATGGGAGAGGATCGGGCATTTTGGCCGTGGTTTTCAACGATGCCCTTTAACCTGAAAAAAAAACCTTCATGAAAAAAAAAACATTGAGATTCGATTAAGAGTTTTTCTCAAGGCAATTTGCACGGCCATCCCCCTGTTACCCAGAAGGACGGGGGTTCCATCCCAGATCATCCCTCGAAAGGGGGTATAGAAGCTCAAAGGAAAACCTATAATAACGGGGAGATTTACTTGGAAAACCAGACAAATCAAAACGTACACAGCACGATCGAGCTAACGTTTCACCTACTTTTTGAAGGTATGTCTTGGCAGCGATTTACAGCTACGTATGCATTGTGACTTCATAAACTGTATAAATACATGTACTGTATTTCTCAAAGAAATTGAAAAAGATATTCTGGTCGTTCTCGCGCTATTAAAGTATATTTTTAAAACAAAAATACTGCGATCTGACTTCCTAGAGCCCTATCTGTTGTCAGATCCTACTTCTATCAACATGACTTTAGAAAGTCATTTTTAACATTCTAAAAGACATAAAAAATATGACGGTCAAAAAAGGAAGAAAGATTTTTTTTAATAACAATAGGTAGAGAATTAAATTTCAGGAAAACAAATGCACTGTGCTTACAGAGAATACCCAAAAGAGATTGAGAACTGCAATAATTACGGAATGTACCCGCAGAACGAACCACATCAAATTCCTCACCATCATCTTTATCGCCGCCACAACCACCAATGCAAATTTCAAAGCATTATAAACTAAAACGAGATTGGAACTGAAATTTCAGGAATTCATAGTTAATATCCAAAAAATATGTATACAATTTGAATGTCAAGGAATTTCCAGAGGAGAAGGATAACATGTTTTCTTCGGTGAATACTGGTATTTAGACACCTTTTAAAGCCTTTAAACGTCAAATGCTATTAGATCTAACGATTGTTTACGCCTCGACGTTCGCCACCTTTTCTGGATTCCGGCATTTAATATGAATTTACTTAATGTAACCATTTCAACGAAGACTTTATTTTAAACAAAATAGAAGCTACGCAATAATCTAAGAAAAAGTTTAAACCAGGTGAGGGGGGTTTAGCATTCGTCATAATTATGTTTCACGTCAAATACCCTCACGGAAGTGGTGGAAAGAAAGCCGAACACCTGTTAGTGAATAAAAAACTTTAAAGAATAGGGCAAAAATCTATCGTTTAGATTCCTGTGATAAATTTTGGTATTAGCAAACGGGCAAACGTTGATCAAAATGATTACCTTGAGTCATTGTGATCTTCTGGTTACACAGTCAAAACCGGAAAAAAAATCCAGAGAGGTTACCCGAATGGAAACCAAAAAAAAAATGAAACGCATGAGATTAGAAGATGTAAGAGCCAATGAACAAAATAACCGTCATCTAGGTCTTATGAAAGCCGGTGTGATATCCATCAATCTTGTAATGCTCTAGAATGGGGTAAAATACAACAGGTGCTAATTCGTATGTTATCGACTGAAACTCCAACTCTAAAAACTCGACCTTAGAACTAGCGTACAAAGGCTACAGATGCGGAACTTGTTAAAACATTTTATCAGAAGACCATCATTATCTTGCTATTTGATACATATACAAGTTTCCATAATTGCCACCGTTGCAACGCAGGGTTCAGGAACATAGATTGATTGATTGTATGTTGTTTAACGCCCCTCTCGAGAATTTTTCACTCATTTGGATTTGCCACCATTTCCCGATGGAGAGCTGCAAATTTTGTCCTATACTCGGCACTCAAGGCCA